AGTGACTTGTCTGAGTATCAAGAGTGCCAAGCCGCAACTAACGGTGGATTCTTCATCCGAACTCTTGAATGCGCTCTACCTCCGAACCTGTCATGCCGCCCACCCGTCCCGAGGGTTGCATCATCGCTGTGAGGTGTTATCGCAGATCGTCTGAGCATATCTGAAACTTTCTTTTTGGCGGGATTCGACGCCGTCACCATGCGCCCTGCGTCTCTCCTTGGAAATGTTGCGTTGGGCATCCGTCCCTGCATCCGGCTTGCCGCGCCCACGCCACGGGAGATCAGAGCACGACAGCCCGAGTATCGAAAAAGCGCGCTGTCGCTGGCTGCGGGAGGCAAGGGGCGCCTGCATATCAGTCCAACTGGCCGAGGTCAGAGACAATAGCAGCCGAAGCTCGAGTAATTGCCTCACTGAGTGACACAGTGGTCCAGGGTCTCGATATATTCCCAGGACTCCCATACGAGGCGGCAGTAAAGCGTTTTGCTGAAAACCACGACTGGCAGAGGGAGCAGAGTACATGCTACCAGTATCATCCCGCCGATGCTGCTCTTGCCATGGTCAGTGTAGGTCGCAGACTGCCTCGGCCTTCGCCACTTACAATCGTCTCTTGTGAACCAAGTACTTGTCGCAAATAGAAAGGTCAAAGTACAGTCACCGGTTTACCAAGATGGAAATATGGGCCCAGGCACGATCCATGAAGTTTAACCCCCGAGGGATACATGGTGCCAAGGTTTTTGTCTTGCTAGATGGTGGAGTTCAAGCATGATGGAACCGTGGATGAGCATGCGAGATATTGTATGCTGCCCCGAGTTAGATACTGTAGTTATTATCTACACGAAAAAAGGCCATGGTACTTGGTCAACAATTCTTTCACAGCCCAGAACCGTGGCCATCTCTCATCAAACTATGTTGTAAATCAGATCAGGCCCTGTGTGAGTATATATGAGGTCTGCATACATGTATGCCTTGGCAAAACGCAGGAATCACGAACCTTCTCTTTTTTACCTAGTGGTGCTCTGAGGGGACCTACCAACCCCCTTCCTCTCCCCCGCTGTGAGCGAAACCCCTTACTAAACCCGGGGAATTGAGGTACTGGATCGAGAAGACACCTACCTACCTACCGTGGTTAATTCTTCATTTCCCGTTATTTTCTGTTTTTTAGCACCGTCTGAACACTATATGATGTTGGGAGATCTTAACGATATGATGCTTTGGCTCTTACTACCTTTCTGGTGAAAGATTGAGAGAGCTGATAGGTATAACATAAGATAATTGTCGAACTAGGTATTTAATTATACTCAGAGGGGTTTTTTCTGATGCCCTTGCCTTTTATATACTTCGTAACCGTGATGACTAACTAGGATGTTCATATATACTACATAGGAGTGAGATAGTTGACCATGCAGAACAGCAAATGTACACAGCCCAGGCAAACAACCATTTCATGATGTTTATTAGTCTCCGAAGGGAGACTACGCTCAACAGCCTCAGCAACAATAAAACTCTACAAGAAAATTGTCGTAGGACCCTCAAGCCCCCCTCCCGTCCGACTTCGCCTCGCCGGCCCCATGCCCTTCATGCTTCTGTTGTGTATCCGGCGCTGAGCGGTGCTGAGCCCTCATCTATTTCTCCGCAGTATTGGCAGAAGACACGCTCAGCCGTCAACTTTTGCTCCTTGGTTAACGGACGACCCCGGATACGACTTCGGAGGACCGGGACAATACCCATACTTCAGAAGATTGCCCTCTATTGTGACTTTGTGCGTCCTCGAGCAGGGAGAATGCCCACCCCACCAACAGAACTGTGAAAAGGAATGGTAGTGAGGTCTTGCTTGCCGTAAACGACAGGTTCAGTGGGGCTTGTAAACTGGATGAAGAGAACGATGTTCCGAATGCGCATGAAGGTTGCGCAATGATGCACAGTCTGAACTTCTCGAAAGTAAAGATACGGTTCGAGTCGGCGATGTGTCTCCAGTCATATATACGAAGAGCTTCCTGGGCCACGGAGCCTTAAGCGAAGTGCAGACTGGCGTGTAGATATTGAGCCCCTAGGCGGCTCCTGTCCCCTCGGTCCGCTTTATATTCGGTATCTTTCCACCAGAGGTATATTAGAAAGCGGCCAGCAAGTCCTTTTGAATGAGGAATGGGTGTGCACATGTGTCCACTGTTCAGTATGGCGTCAATCTCTTAGAGAAGGAAGTGCCCTGCAGAAACCTTGGTCCTTGCACTGTTGCATTTTCTCGCAACCCGCCCGACAATCTTCATTTGAAAGCTATTTAACGGGATTCAAATCTACGTCTATATATTCTTGGTCGCCCTCTTCAACGCTTTGCCAAGCTGTTCCACAAAATCAAAGCAGTCCGCGAATGTATTGTACAACGGAGCCGGCGCGACCCGGATGACGTTCGGCCTCCTCTCATCGATGACCACGCCGACTTCGTCGAAGAACTCCATCACGCCATCGAGCAGCCCTTCGGCGAGCAGCAGGCTCAGCTGCGCCCCCCGCTCCTCCGGCCGCCTCGGGGTGATGACGCGGAAGAGCGCCCTCTCCTGCTCCGGCATGGCGCCGAGCAGCTCCTCCAGGTAGCCCGTCAGCCGCAGCGACTTCTCCCGCAGCGCGCCGACGCCGCCGGCCAGCTCGAAAACCTCGAGCGAGGCGCACAGTGACGTGATGTCCAGCACGCTCGGGTTGCTCAGCTGAAAGCCGGCGGCCCCCGGCACGGGGTGGAACTTTGTCTCCATGGCGAAGCGGGACGACTTGTCGTTGCCCCACCACCCGGCGAGCCGGTTCACATACCCCCTTTCGGAGTCCGGGTCTTGGACGGACGTCGTAACGGCTGTGTGTCTCGAGTGGACGAACGAGCCGCCGATGCAGCCCGGTCCACCGTTGAGGTACTTGTACGTGCACCACGCAGCGGCGTCGACGTCCCACTCGTGCAGTCTCAGGAGCACGTTCCCCACGGCGTGAGCGAGGTCCCAGATGACGAGGATAGAGTGTTTGTGGGCGAAAGCGGTGATGGTAGGGATGTCGAGTAGCTGACCTGTGTAGTACTGAATCCCCGGGAGGAGGAGGACGGCGGTGTCCGAGGCGTGATGCTCGATAGTCGAGAGGATGTGCTGAGTGGTGAGAATTGGTTCCGTAGAGGAAGGGGGCTCGATGCAGACCATCGAATCTGAGGGTGAGAGGCCGTGATGCCTGATTTGGGTCTCCACGACGAACTGCATGGGCGTCAACCTTGTACTCGTTCATGCATCTCACAGCTCCTCCCACCTCCGGCGGGGGTGGGGAGACTCACATGGTCACTCGGAAAGGCCTTGCTCTCTAAGATGATCTTATGCCTGCCTTCCTTCTGAGGCTTGTAAAAGGCGGCCATGAGAAAATGGAGGTTGGCCGTCAGAGTCTGCATGACGGCGACCTCGGACTCGTCGGCGCCGACAATGGGGGCAATCAACTTGGCCGCCTTGGCGTCTACGTTGAGCCATGTCGGCAACGGGGAGTCCTCGAGAGGTTTGTGGTGGCCCTGGACACCCTGCGTGGCCCAGGTGGACAGGTACTGCTGTATCCTTACTGCGGTGCGCTTGGGTTGCAGGCCGAGGGAGTTTCCGCATAAGTAGGTACATTTTTGCTGGCCAGCGCTTGAGGCGGTAGAGGCGTCATCTTCTGCGCCGCGGCGATGGTGTCAGCCCTTGATACTAGAGAAGGTATGAGAGGGGGAAGGGGAGAAGGGAGCCTCCAATCGCTGACCTTTCTTGGCGAGAGTTTTGCTGGTGATCTCTTGCTTGGTCGGGATAACGAATTCGTCCCGCGTGTGCCTTAGCGCGTCTTTCTGGTCCAGGGCCTCGGCATATGCTCTGCTTAAAGGATCCATGTCTGGGGCGGGATAATGCTGTGGACGTATTCTTCGCTAAGGCGAGAGGTAGCGCAGCTTCCGACCTCGGCTCGAGGTTGGCGGAGAGAAAAGGAGGGGGGACCGGCAATGGTGTGGAAATCAAGATGATTGTTAAGTTTGTGACCTCTCTAGCAGGTATTTCCGAAGTGACGAGGGCGTAACGAATGGTCCTTTTGGGTTGATTCAGGATCCTTGAACGGCATACGACTCTGACGTTGGGTTCGTTGTTCAGCAGCTGCAGCTCGAGGAGTGGAAGTCATGATGCATGCACCCACCACTCACGCAGACAATTCTTTCCTGCGCGTGTGGTGCCCCGCATAGCCCAATGAGGGGTTCCCGACGAAGCCCCGGGCTGGCGGGGCGCGTTGAAGCAGCTGGCAACACTGTGAAGCAATGGCTGTTACTGCCAGTCAGCAAGCAAGTACAGCACCTGACTGCCTACCTATACCGGCGAACATGTGTGCTTATGGCATCGTATACCACAAGATGAAGGGTGCGACGGGCAGTGCTGACCACTGTGGGGGGCCAAGGAGGCATCAGCTGTTTCCACCATGGAATTGGGGGAAGGGAGGCGGGAGATCCTCTTTTTCTCCAACAAACTCAACCAGGTGGACCTGACATATTTTTGAATACATATGAAAGATGGAGGATAGGCGAGATGACAGATCTCGGTTTCGATACACTTTCTGTTGTTATTATTATTCTCTTGTCTCCTTCTCAGTATTCATCATGTACTTGGGACAAAATACACATGTACCGGGTACTTCCCGTATGTATCTCCAGTTCGTCACTCGCCACTCCCCAAACCCGGATCGTGATTATGAGAAAAAAACTCTTCTCACGCTCTCGATCACCGACCCAAATAGCGTGCTCAAGCTAGATTGCCCCGAATTACGAAATAAGGCAGTTTCCATTACCCCCTCGAAACCCCGATATTACCCCCTCATTACCCCATAAACTGGCCACATGCGGGGTTTTGCTGACTCGTCTCTTGGCTCGCCTTGCCAAAACATGCACGAGGTGCCGCCCACGAGTCCGGGGTAGTGGATGCCGCTCTCAACGAACAGGTCAGGACAGGCCAGGCCAGGCCAGGCCAGGCCAGGCCAGGCCGGTCAGGTACGCCGCACGCCCTATACATGGCGCGGGGGGATCTGTGGGATCTGTCTTGCTCTCCCCACCTTCATATTGAAGTACAAGAGTTGGAACTTACACTCTAGAGGTTGGAGGAGTAACCAAACTACCAGTGTACTTTGGTTCCTGCTGGGTGGGTTGGTATCTGTTGTACCTATAGAGGTACACTCCATCCGGGCAGGGAAACCCTCTTGGATGGACATGGAAACACATGGACGGGCTTCGAGATGGAGGGGCCGGGTATGACGGGGTTGGACGGACGGAGGGCCATGTTCGGGCGATCACGGCGATTCGGCGAGGGACGGCTCCTGGGTGTTCGTGTAAAAAGTCCAACCAACTGACGAAGGTCGGTATTTTGTATTTTCTGGTCTTGGCAGAGTTCAAGACGGAGTGCTCACTCATGTCAGGGGAGACGAGCCGGGAGACAGTTCCCGGTCTACAGCTTGGTGGACAGCGTCCCCGGGGCCCGGATGATCTTCGTGCATGTGGTCTCTAGCTTTATGCGTCTCTCTTCAAAGAGGACTGGGCGAGACTCCGCACTCATAGGCTCAACCAGGGACCGTAGAGAGTTGGCGAGCTGGCGCCCGTTCGTGTCGCCAATGGCCATTGATCGACGGGCTGCTCCGATGGTTGATCCCCGACCAGAATACACAAGTAAAGAAAAGCTCAGCAGGTCTCTGTATTGTGCTATTCGTGGTTCTGACATCGAAATATGGGCAACGACCCATGGCGGTCGGTCAGCAGATCGCAGGGCTGGACAATGCTGACTTGGCCGGGGAAGAGTTGGCTTGACGTTGAGACAGTCTCGGGTGGAGAACCCGACGCGATCACCACAGACTTCGGTAGGGGACCATAGGAGGCTCTGCTTGGCTGCCGCTTACACAGTACCTCCTGGGTGTTGGGATCACAAAGTTTTCCTCAGTGGATCCATGTACCCGTGGCAGAGAAGGAAAACACTGTTATCCACGACACAGTATCGTACCTGGGCCAAACCGAGTTGGTTAACGGAGTTGGTTGTTGGCAGTCGAGAGAAACAAAGCCTCCTTAGGGTTGATGTCAAACTGGCCCGAACGCCGTCAACGGTCCCATTGGGGCCACTCAATTCGGACAAGCTCGTTTCTTTTCAGTGAGCGGCCTGTCCTCATTCACGGCGGCGAGTTGAGTGACCAGGTGCTGGATCGCAGTGTGTCTATTTGGATCTCGAACTGATGCGGCAGAAAAAAGTGCCCGCCGGTGTGCAAATCCGAGAAGGCCTCTCCCGCGTCGTGTCAATCGCTGACCAGGCCACAACCAACCTCAAAACCTAACCGATCCATATGGCAGACGGAAAGCAAGGGGTGAGAGAAGCACACGTACGCATCCCGATGCCCCTCTGGCCAGATGTGTTTCGATGTGTCAAGGCTTTCTCAGATTTCAAACCATGTCTCCCATCGTGACCTTGGGGTGGAATAGTGCAATTGCCATGAACCCTGAAAGGAGAAGATTGAAGAGAGGCATCGTGACCTCTTTCCCCCCCTCCCTCCCTTTTCTCGTGGCTCTTTTGGCCCAAGCTTCCGGCGGGTGTGTAATGGGGACCCAGGGACTTGGAGACGGAGGGGAAAGGGGGACCTTGGAGGAATGCGAAGGTGAGGAGAACAGGAACAAGTGACGATCCGACTTTTTCGTCCCCTTGTGCTGGTGCAGGGGTTATTTGGGTCACGATCCAGTTCAGAGACACAGTCACCGTTCCCTACCAGACATCCCCCCGGCCGCGCAAGAGGGGTAAATTTAGACAAGTGGCGGTCGCTTGCACGTCCAGATACGCCCGCATGCCTCGAGGTGGGGAAAAAAATATTATTCTAGAACTCGCCCCCACCCCGCGCGGTCAATCAGGTACGGTGAGGGCGAGAGGAAGGCATCGTGACCCTCTTGGGATTTCAAGGTTCGTCTCCATTCCTGTCCTGTTCAGGCAACAGGTGGATATCACAGGCAAGGATTCTATTCTAGGGAGACACAGAATGTATGAATTTTATGTACCCGCGAAATCCTCTAGGTATCTGACTTGGACATCCATTCCAAACACCCTATCCAGCTCTCCAACGAACCTCTTACCCCATAACATCCACCTTTGTTGATTAGCACGCAACACTGGCGCAAGCTCGAGGGTGCCGGCGGCAGCAGCGGCAGGATCTCGTTGGCCGCCTTTGGAAACGGCCTTTGGACGAAACAAACGACCACGCCGGACCGCGTGACGGAAGGCAAGGTAGGGATGGTGTCAGACACCGGCAGTGTTTTACAATGGCCGTTTCCATTTGGTAATGGCGATGCGGCATCGCGGGGGCCTCGAGGTCGGGGCCCTGGCCTGTTCAGACCCCGAAGCGGACTGGAGCTCGACGGCAAGCAGACCCCGCGAAACATGAATACTCTACATGCATGTTTTCCGCTCTGGAGAAGGCCGGATTGCCGAGATAGCTGAGGCATTCCGGCGGCCCCCGCCCCTAGATGAGGCTAGTAGGTAGTCAGAAAATAAAGAACTAGGGTTCCCATCATCTGGAGTTCTCCAATCAGGCCAAGTCGGTCTGTCCCGTGGCCCCTCCCCCTAGGGATCGCAACTATGCGCCGCTGCACGATCAAGTAATCTGGGGGTAATGGAAACTCGACAATTTCCGGCCCGGCTTGCTGGGGAACGGGCTGTGTCTGGCTTGGGGCGGCTGACGGGGTCAGCCGCCGCGCTGCCGGGCCACTCGGGGAGGCGGAGGGTGAGTGAAGAGGAATAGTAGACATGAACTAGGCAAGGACCATCCTCAACGTATGCCGTCTCGTGATCTTGCGCATTCTTCTTCTGGCCCTGTACCGTGATACACATGTCGTCCTATTGCTGGGGCATTCCTCGGACAAAGACTAATTTACGGTCTGTAAGCTGACAGAAGATGGGCGGACCAAGTAGCGGACAGAAACCTGGGGTAATTGTGGGAAGAGAAGGGTCTCGGGTTGTTTCCATTACCCTCTCGTAATGACGGCGTGTTGTTGTGCTTGGGGGTAGGCAAACTGGGCAGCGTGTGGTAATGGAAACAACGTCAGGGCGAGCATGGCTAAATGCTGGTATCCACAGTTCGCATTGGGCTTCGGGCCTCGTGGAGGGGAGCTTGGTGTCTTGCTTCCAAGCTTGTCGTGACTCGCAAGAGAGGTACACCAAAAGGTGTACATTGCTGAGGTTGATACTCGGAATTGCGATAGATCCACACGCCACCAGGTATAGGAGACACTTATTAGCGTGCAATGGAGCAAGAGCCGTCTTGTTACCAGGGGTTGCAAAGGGGGGCGCTGTCTGGGTCGGCGCTCGACGAGCGGGCGTTTTGAGCTGCAACACAACACGAACAAGCGGTAAAATAAGATAAAAAGAGGACATAGAGCACGAGGTATTCGTGACCTCGACCGGATCCGTGACGCGCGCCGTCAAGCATGGGCAAGAGTGGCAGGCCCGCAGGTTTCCAGGTTTAGGTTCTGGAAACGGGTATTGTGGTACCGGCTTGTCCATCACCGACACACTGTCCTATAGTGACATGGTTTGGCCGTGGCAGAGCCCCGTGCGTCGGGTGCGTTGGGCTGCATGTTGTTTGTTTGCGTGGTTTATTGGCGTAGAGGGACAACCACGTCTACCACTGCGGTTTAAGAAATTGGACGACGACGACGACGACTGCCAGAGCTGCGCGTTGTCGGTGCATCCTGATAGAGAGAACAAGAGGATAGAGCAGATTACGAAGGGCGGATAGCCGGTACACACAGGGTACCCGCTGGACTGACTAACCAGTGCTTCCCACAAGATTGAAGGCCGCGTCGAAAGACCGGCCGCCCGAGCTCTCGGTTTGTGGCCCAGTTGTGCGATGGCCTGGGTTGATAGATTGCACAGCCAATCCAACCGACCAAGTTATCCTTTGAGTTGTTGCAAGTGACCGGACTGGCCGACGAAGCTATGTCTCGCCGAAGAAGGCCACTCCCATCGGCTTTGGCTTGCAGCTGCAGCATGTTTGTTAGTTGCTGGACGACTAATACCGTTCTCCGATAACTGAGACCTTTAACCCAACCGGGCCGGTTGAAGCAGAGGAGAGCGGCCTAGGCTTGAAGACCCCCTACCTGCCTACATAGGTATCAACGTCTATGTATACCATGACATGAGAAAATTTTCTTTGTGGAAATAGATAAGGCCGGATGGCTCCTCCGACACTTTGTGACCGGATACGATACAGCAAGAAACAGAGCCGAGAAGCAAGGGAAAAAAAACATGCATACGAATACATGGATTCACACAGAAGTGTGGAGAGAAGAGCCTCGAATAGCCGTGTCATGCAGGAGGGAGATACGTACAGCGAGTGACAGGTACATTGCACTCGGATCCGTACCTGACCTTCGGATACAAAGTACTGGGTACGTACTGATGAGAGGCCATTGTGGTTCTCGCCCGCCTGGAGGTTTTGCGCGTTCTTGGTAGTTCCTTGGTGCCCCTCCATTAGCGCATGTGATGCGCCCCATGTGGCAGCTCCCAGGCCTCACTTGCCTCAGCTTGTGCTCCGTCGTAAGGTAGGTAGGTACCTGATGATGTACTGTTTACCCCGGGACAGGTCACCGACCAGTGACAATACCATCGCTGGCGCCGCTGCAAAGATGGACGTTAGGTATGGTAGGTACTATACGGGACGATGGTACGTATAGTAGATACTCGGTACTTTCCACTTGGCCTCGAGCCCCTAGCCGGCTATCCAATCAGCGACGCAAATTGGAGTCTGCTGTCTGCCCGAAATAGCTTAGCTTAGCTTTTATGGACGCCATTTGCACTGCGGGTGAAGTCATCATCGTGATCCAGCGCGTATATTGTGTAGGGTACGGAGTACACTACCTACAGCAGGAACCTCGCTCAGAATACTAGTATCCCAAACAGCACAGTACAGTGGTTTTGCAAGGATGCATGTCGACGTGCTTCAAGCATGCATTTTTCCGCCCAGTATTTTCCTCACTCGTTGCGAGTCACCTGCCCTTGCTGGGGGGTGTGGGTGTACATGAACCGGGGGGGGATGGAAGCAGAATCATACTTGGCATTTTACGTATCCGTAGGTGTGCAGAGCATAGAGCAGAACAGAACAGAGCATGAAGCATGAACAAGACCATTCGTCAAGTCGTCTAGTACCCCGAGTATAAAGGCTGGAGCTACGCCTGTTGGATCGTGAGTCTTTTTGGCCTTTGATCGACTGACTTTGCTATTCCATCCTCATCCTCATACCTCTTCTCTTTATCTCCTTCCTCCCACCTCCCTATCATCCCAGCCGTACCTAGCTCAGTATCGGGCCCAAACATCATCTCTCCTCGCGTTGCTCAGCTCTCACCTCGGCAACGACGTCTGTACTCGCCTCATTTCTCTCGCGTCAGCCACAAACCTCAGCCAACAACAGACCGGCTCGGTGTTCATTGCTCTCCAGCCTCCTTTCACAGCCCTGTGGCCACCGCCCTACAACCCTACCCTGTTGCTATTTTCAGCTGAAGGCAGTAACAAAGCAACCCGAGTTCAGGGTCCTTATCTCCCCAAAACCTGCCCCTCGGTGTCGCCACATCACACAGAGCAAGCGTCGCTATCGCCGCGATCGAATCTCTTGTGTACCCATCCGTGCCTGAACCAGGATCTAGTCTGTTTCTTCTCCAGAGAGCAGGCACCAGATTCCATTTCCATCTGCATCCCCTCCAAACCCCTGGGGCCTGAACAGAAGCCAGAGTTTTCTCCCCTGTCGAGGAAGAGAGTAAGAAAAAAAGAAAAGAAAAGAAGAACAAGGTACCTGCATCAGCGAATTAGCCTTGAGCTGGTCGGATGGCTGTGTTGCCCGGGATCCCCATCGTCCACCTTACGTCAATTGACGCATTTTGATCACCCACTCGCCCGAGCAAACCGCCGCAACTTTGCAGGTGACGGAAAATAAAAATAAAGGTACTTCGTCCCTTCCGTACCCGACGAAGCTAAACAAGGTCGCGCCTACTATAGCTGCCACAATTTCAATACGGGTTATCCGGCTGACCTCCAGGCTCATCCTACAGGGAAACTCCTTTCTCGCCCAGCCCGTTGTATCTTTCTCTCTTATTCACCACAAGAGCAAAATACGTATATATCGACCGCTTCTGGGCTTCGAGATATCTTCCCCCCCCTTTATCATCCCTCCTCCTATCAACTACTTCTTCATCCCGTCCTCGTTTACCGCCAGAATCCGTCTCTGCTGCCGTTGGCTCCCGCGAGACACTCGGTCCTTCACCACTCGCCCGTCAACTCGAGAGCCTGGGCCAAACATAGAGTTGCACCTCCGGATCACCTTTCCGAGACCTTGACGTCAGCCACATCAGGCATACCTAAAAGTACACCCTCCCCCTCGACGATACCTGCACTCCCCAGGAACCAGACTTCTCGAATCCACAGCAAGCAGGTATCTGGACCAGTTGTTAGCTCTGCCCGCCGCTTTGCTCTTGATCCAGTATACGGATATCTGACTCGGATCAGCATTGCACACTAGTTTGCCAAAACACACAAGGTACGCCCCGTCCGAGTCCACGTCCCTTGATTCCAGCACCATCCCCTTCATCTCGCATGCCCCTGCCCCTCCCTTATCAGTCCGCCCATTGCACGAGCATTCGGCGGTGAAGCTTCAACGCAAGCCCATTGCTCTCTCGACTGCTCCCTAGCGCGTACGCATGATGTTTTCCGCACTCCCCTAGCTCTGCTGCTGCTTCCCGGCCCAGTCTATTCCAAACAGCGTTCTAGCAAAGCAAACCTGCTCTGAACCCCCCCTACACTGATCCCGGCCTCCCCAGCGGGCGCTCGAACGCAGCTGTGTTGCAGCTATCTGAGTTTGACTCACAAACACCAAGCAACAACTCTCGTTGCTGCCATGTTTCGTTGTGCCGGGCTGCCTACTTAGACCATTCGGTCACCCGCCATGAATGCCCATCTTCTTCCCTCTGCTCTTCGCCTTCACTGCATCCGCACAGACGTTTCTCCTTTTCTCTTCTTGCTCCTCTGTGGACATATCACCCGCCGCGATGTTGGCCCTATCCATCAATACTGACCTTCCCCTGGATAGTTATTCTTCCGAGCCAGACCCTCTCGGAGAAATTCCCGACATAATGGCGACCGCCGCACCCCCTCGTAACAAGATGCTGGGCCAGGTTCAAGCCGACTCAGCAGAGAGCAGCCGCGGCCCCTCTCCCCAGCCCACACATTTCAGTGTTCCCATGGCTGCCCGTTGCAATGGCAACGGACACAGAGTCCTGAGGTCAGCGACGGTCGGCTACATTGCGCCGGAATTCGGTGGCAAGCAGGAGCAGATGGAGCAGGGTGAGTTTCTCAACCAGCTAGGTCACTGGATGTCACTAACACGCGTGATCTAGTCAAGGAGCTCATCAAGAACAACGGCTGGATCCCCGATGCACTCATCGAGGAGCAAGTTGCTTGGTTCTACAACGAGCTCGGCATTGACGACGTCTACTTCAAGATCGAAGTTCCCGAGGTCATTGCCAGCCAAATTACCTCCCTGTACGCCGCCAAGATGGCTGCATTCGCCCGCGAGGACAAGCGCGAGGAGATCCGCCTCGACATGGAGGCCCATGATCATGCCATCTACATTGACACAAGCGAGCCCGGCAAGACCTCCACAGCTGGACCTCGTTACGAACAGCGCCTTGAGGCCAAGTATCTCGATCACACGGGCAAGTCTAAGTTCCGTGTTGAGACCTTCCGCTCTGCCGGCGTCTTGGGGGCATCGCCTGCTTCCAAGGCGACGCTGCGCTGCTACTTCGTCTACCAGTGTCTTTTCAAGCAGAGCCCTGAGACGACGGACCCCAACGAGACTCGTTTGGAGGTTATTGCCGATAATGGTTTCCTCCAGAAGGCCACCAGCAACACCAAGCAGATCTACCAGGAGATCATCGAGCTCGCGGTCAGTAGAACTGGCCCCGTCATCGAGGTGTTTGATATCGAGGGCTCTGCTGAGAAGCGCTTGGTCATCGCCTTCCGCTCGCGCACTGCTCGCGGCTTGTTCTCTGCCCTCAGTGACCTGTATCACTACTACGGTGTCACCAGCTCCAGGAAGTACGTGGAGCAATTTGCCAACGGCATCACAGTCATGAGTATCTACCTCCGCCCCGCCATGAACATCGAGGGCAACTTCCCCTCATTGGACCAGTCGATCCACCAGATCACCAAGGAGATCTCACTCCTTTACTGCTTGCCCCAGAACAAGCTGCACTCGCTCTTCACCTCCGGCGAGCTCAGCCTTCAGGAGACAGTCTACGGCCACTGCGTCTGGGTCTTCATTCAGCACTTCCTCAACCGTCTCGGCTCCGAATATGTCTCCTTATCCGAAATCCTTGACCCCAAGAACCAGGCCCACACGGCGCTCCTGTCCAAGCTGAAGCGCCGTCTGAGGACGGAGACCTTCACCCCCGACTATATCTTGGAGATTATCCAGTCGTACCCCGGCTTGGTTCGCGCCTTGTATGCCTCCTTCGCCTCGGTGCATCTTGCCGTCGGACCCGACTTCGATCGCCACTTCATTGCTCCCACCCCTGCCATCGAGGTTTTGTCCGATGCCAAGCTCAAGGAGCGCATCACTCGTGACGTGTCTAACGAGCACGAGGAGATGGTCATGACCGCCTTCCGCGTCTTCAACAACGCGATCCTCAAGACGAATTACTTTACTCCCACCAAGGTTGCCCTTAGTTTCCGCCTGGACCCCTCTTTCTTGCCCGAGATTGAGTACCCTAAGCGCCTCTACGGTATGTTTCTCGTCATTGGCGCCGAGTCGCGCGGTTTTCACCTTCGATTCAAGGACATTGCTCGCGGCGGTATCCGTATCGTCAAGTCTCGCAGCAAGGAGGCGTACGGCATCAACGCGCGCAACCTCTTTGACGAGAACTACGGTCTTGCAAGCACCCAGCAGCGCAAGAACAAAGATATTCCCGAAGGTGGCTCCAAAGGCGTTATTCTTCTTGACCCCAAGATGCAAGACCGCGCCAAGGAGGCCTTTGAAAAGTACATTGACAGTATTCTCGACCTCCTCCTTCCCGCCCAGACTCCTGGTATCAAGAACCCGCTTGTGGACCTGTACGGCAAGGAGGAAATCATCTTCATGGGACCCGATGAGAATACCGCGGACCTTGTCGACTGGGCGACCGAGCACGCTCGCGCCCGTGGAGCACCTTGGTGGAAGTCTTTCTTCACCGGCAAGTCGCCCAAGCTCGGTGGTATCCCCCACGATACGTACGGCATGACCACTCTGTCCGTCCGCGAGTATGTCAAGGGCATCTACAGGAAGCTCAACCTCGACCCTTCCACCGTCAAGAAGATGCAGACCGGTGGCCCTGACGGTGACCTGGGCAGCAACGAGATCCTCCTCAGCAACGAGAAGTACACTTCCATTGTTGACGGATCCGGCGTTCTCGTTGACCCTAACGGCATTGACAAGGAGGAGCTTCTCCGTCTTGCCAAGTCGCGGTCCATGATTGCCAACTTTGATATGGCCAAGCTGTCCAAGGATGGCTACCGCGTCCTGGTTGATGACAACAACATCACTCTGCCTACCGGCGAGTTTATCTCTAACGGCACGTCGTTCCGCAACACCTACCACTTGCGCGACACTGGTCTGACCGACTGCTTCGTTCCTTGCGGTGGTCGCCCTGAGTCGATTGACCTGATTTCGGTTAATAAGATCATCAAGGACGGCAAGTCAACCATCCCTTACCTGGTTGAGGGCGCCAACCTCTTCATTACCCAGGACGCCAAGCTCCGCCTGGAGGCCGCCGGCTGTATCCTGTACAAGGACGCCAGCGCCAACAAGGGTGGTGTGACGTCTTCGTCTCTGGAGGTTCTTGCCTCGCTCTCGTTCGACGACGAGAACTTTGTCAAGCACATGTGCCACGACGCCAGAGGCCAAGCTCCCCAGTTCTACCAGGATTACGTCAAGTCCGTCCAGGCAAAGATCCAAGAGAACGCTCTTCTCGAGTTCGAGGCCATCTGGCGTGAGCACGAACAGACTGGCCTCCCCCGCAGTGTTCTTTCTGACAACCTTTCCAATGCCATCACCACCCTGGACGAGGAGCTCCAACACTCCGACCTCTGGAAGAACGAGAAGATACGTCGCTCAGTCCTCCAAGATGCCCTTCCCAACCTGCTTCTGGAGAAGATTGGCCTCGACACCATCATTCAGCGTGTTCCCGACTCGTATCTGCGCGCCATCTTTGGTAGCTACCTCGCCTCGAGGTTTGTCTACCAGTTTGGTAGCCAGCCTAGCCAATTTGCATTCTATGACTTGTAGGTTTACCCCCATTCGCTCCCATATATGGACCACTTGGCTAATACCTCTTCTCAGCATGGCCAAGCGTATGGCAAGCGTTAACTAAATAATTGGGTGCTTCCTGACCGGTGCGCTTTAGAACTGTGTTTTCTTTTTCTTTTTCTTTTTTTTTTTTTTTGAATGCATTTCTGGGTTCTGGATACTTGGCCAATGTCATTCTTTTGAGGGCTATACACGCATGGTAGGTGCGAAAGAGCAAAAAAGAAGGTGGGAGGCATGGGAAGAGGAAGACAAAAAGAAACAAGGGTTACTTCAAATGTCCCCAACTGATGTGGACGACTGCATAATAGGCGTTATTGGGTATGTTACTACCTACTATAAGACATGCACCTGATCCTAGAATGATCACGGCCGTTATTGAATATAACTTTTGATCACTTCAAATCGCTGCGCCTTGCAACATAGCTCGTGACAAGGTGTGTGTGTATATTGATTTTGCCAGTTAGTGTGATAACGTCATGTTATCCGCGATGGATTCAGTTCCTCAAGGTATATATGTATTGTTTCCTCCATTATATATGACGCAAATTTGGATCGTGAAGCCCACTTCTAATTGTTCGTTTGGGGTTTGTGTAGCCCGCAAAATCCTAAGCAGTGATGGCCTCTATTCCAGAACCATTGCATACCCTGTGGCCCGGGGGGGATACCGCCGTGGGAGATCTGCCTGTAACGATAAGATGACAGAAACGTGCAAGATCCAAAATCGTAGGCTTCGGCCAGGCCCACGCCTACACAGGAAGCAGGAGGGATGTAGTTGGAACCAGGAGCGCGCGGTTCTAAGCTCACGCCATCCCCCCATCCCTCCTCATTCCTGTACCCCGTCCCTCCCTCCTCCTTCTCCTCCTCCTCCTTGTCAGACCTGCAGCTGCAGCCTAGCCGGTCCGTCCCGAGGGCGTGTGGGCGCACAAGGTGGACAGAAGTGGACCGCTGCTCCGGGCGGCCGTTGGTCGGGATTGGGTTGTCGAAGATGGGCGAGCACGCGAGCGAGGCGTGAGGGGTTTCTCCATCGTACGTACTCACACACCCCTCGCACAAAGCCCCCACGCTAAGGGATACGCAACTGGAGACCTCCCCGGTGGCCAATAACTGGTATTTCCTCCAATGCGAGCACGTTGATCCGGCCCTGGAAGGAAACCAACACGCTGCTAGCCAACTTTCCTATTTGGGCGGGGGGAGGGGAGGCTACGCACAATAGACCACCAACACTGATGATTACCTACGAATAGAACATAACCGACAACCGAACATCAACTCCGGTCTCCGTCTTTAGAATCAACGATCAGCCGGCTTCAATCGAGCAAAGCAAATCACATTCCGCCAACCTTTTAACCTCTCGAACCCCCCCCCCCCCCCCCCGGTTTACTACAGCACTGGATCATTAGTCTTTGGACAGCAACAACGGACCAACCGACCAGCTAGGATTCCTCCATGCGGTCCACATTTATTAGGAATTTACACCAAAATATCATTATGACCGGTTTGATTAGCCCCTAGGTTATGTGAGGCAGGCACCACGTGACCCTTATTCCTGTCTAAATACTAATGACCTAGTACTGCATGCATGACTTAGCCTGACCTGCCGAGGCGTAGCAAAACCAGGGCCAAGCGGCGAGGGAAAACGTCCCTCGCACACAAACATCTCACAAAAAGAAAAGGAAGAAGAGATCTAGTGCGACGCAGCCCACGTGCGAAACCACTCCAAAGCCTCGGGGTTGGCAACGCTCGCGTTTGTCTTGATGTCCATGCCGGAGAGGATCTGCTTGACCGCCACTTCGATCCTGTATCAGTTGTCAGCTCTCAATTCGACCTCAGTAGTACTACTCTCAGTAATACAAGGAAACGTCTATGAGACTTACTTCTTCCCGTTGCTCGTCTTCGGGATGCCGCCACCGGCCTCCTCAATAACACCAGGAACGTGCCTTGGGCTCAGCTCCCTCCTGATAACACTCCTGATCTTTGCCCGCAGCTCATCATCGAATTGGCGTCCCGCGGCGGACACGACGAAGAGACATACTGTCTCGTCGACGTCCGTGGCACGTCTTCGACCTACGCAGACGGCATCCTCCACCTCGGAAGCGAAGAAATGCGCGAGAATATTGTATATCTCGGCGCTGCCAAAACGCACACCGGCGGGCTTCAAGACACCGTCAGATCGGCCGAGCATGACGAGCGACCCCGTCGCCGGGTTCGGGATCTTCACAAAGTCTCCGTGGTGCCACACTGCGCCTTTGGCGCCGCATACGTTGGAGAAGCGTTCGAAGTAGGCTGCCTTGTACTTTTCGTCGCCTCCGGTGCCGAAGAAGGTCAGAGGCTGACAGGGAAAGGGAGCCGTGCAGACGAGATCGCCCGGATGGGATGGGTCGGGGAGGGATTCACCCGAAAGGGAGTCGACGGCGTGGATGGCCATTCCAAGACCGGCACATTGAATTTCGCCAATACGGACGGGAAGGAGAGGGCACGGGGCGCCAAAGAGGGAGATGATATCGGTTCCGCCCGTGATGGAGGCGAGGTTGACCTTGGACGGGAATGCCTTGTAGACAAAGGAGAAGGTGGAAGGCGGGAGGGGACTGGCGGTGGAGTAGATCGCCTCGAGGGGTGAGAGGTCGATGCCGGGCTCATTGACGGGGTACACGGCGTTTGCTTCGAGGGTAATGAGGTAGGCGGCGGATGTGCCGAAGTGGGTCACACGGAGGTCGGAAAGGAGCCGTGGGAGCGACAGATGGCCATGGGGCTTGAAGGGAGAGCCAGAGTAAAGGACAAGAGTGGCGCCGACGGCAAGAGCAGAGAGCTGCCAATGCCACATCATCCACGATGTGGTTGTATAGTAAAACAAGGTGTGCGACGAGTCAAGGGAGCCGTGCAAGGCGTGTTCCTTCTTGTGCTGGATGAGGGTACCTAGGGCCGTGTGCACAATGGCCTTGGGCAGGCCCGTCGTGCCACTGGAGTAGAGGATGTAGAGGGGATGTGAGGGGGGGAGCTGCTCGAACTTCAGGGGCTCGTCAGGGGCGCTTCTTGTCGGTCAGCAGAAAGAACAAGGGGAGGGGGAATGCGGGAGGGAGTCCCCATACCTTTGCAAAAAGGAGTCGTATTCCTCTGCGACAACTCCTGTGGCCGTCAGACCATCCATACCAAGATCACAACCAACGTTGTTGATGACAACAACAAGCTCGAGACCGTTTTGCATCAGAACCCTGGCGATCTCCTCCGTCTTGTCGGTGCTGCTCCACTCCTTGCCGTTGTACACGGTGCCGTTGTCGGCAAAGAGAACCTTGGGTCCGATCTGGGCCAGACGGTCAAGCACGGCGCTGATGCCGTTGTCGGGACTGATGCCGGTCCAAATGGCCCCAATAGAAGCAGCAGCGAGGCAGGCAACGACAGCCTGTACATGATTAGAAACGAAGCCCGCAACGATATCGTCAGACCGGACACCGCGGGCTCGGAGACCGGCGGAGCAGCGGCGGACGGCATCGCGGAGCTCGGCCCATGTTGTGGAGACCGGAAGGCCGAGTTCGGTAGTGGTGATAGTCGCGACGGCTGTGGGGTCGACGGCGGCGTTCGCGGGAAAGAGCAGATTCTCGGCGAAATTGAGACGGGAGCCCTCGAAGAAGTCGGGACGCGGGTACATGGGCGCATTGAGCGGCAGGACCTAGAGGCAACCAGGCCGGGTCAGCTCCTGGTCCGCGGGGAGATGAAATATCATGATAGGCGGTACGGGCGCCGCTTTTGGAGGTTATTTGGTTTGGGGCATTAGCGTTCCCACGAGCTAATGGATGGCTCATCGCATGATTCAACCTTTGAGGGCAATAATCATGCAAAGCTATGTGCCATGGCCGCATAGCCATCCGCCTCACTCAACGCCAGCATCAAGGTTCTCGAACGAGGTTATAGCGAGGGTCCAAGACACTGGTGAGGGTGGTGTTGACGATTTGGTCGTTGCATCTTATTGGGGACGTCTCTGGCACTCGCGTAGAGTTTGATTCGTTCTCTCTCATACTGATGCCACACAACCTCGTTTTCTTCTCCGCACTCCGCCTTGATCCAGGCAGTCAAGGCGCGCAAAGCAGAGCGAAGCAAGACAGGATGAGGGTTGGGTTGAGTTTGGGATATGACGAATGGCATTGGCTAGCGTACCTTGTCGAAGGGCTTGGAGGCTGTGATGCCGACAAAGTGCCAGACCTCCTCCCAAAACTCTGCCACGTTCTCGATGGACCACTTGTACAGACCGGGGTAGTCTGCCAGTTTGAGGCCGTACTTGGAGTTCACCCGGAGAAGGAATGCCCACATTGGAGTCGCTGTGGAGTCCGGATGCCGCCAGAGCTCATTGCGCGTGACACCGGTAATAGTCATGCTGGGCGAGAATTGGACGGATTGAGAGGGGGGGTGGATGGGACGGTGCGCGAGTGAGAGTGGGAGAGAAGGAGAAAAAAATAAAAACAAAAATAAAAAGAGCGAGTGACGCCCCAGACGAAACCTGAGCAGCTGATATCACAGCTACAAGGAGATAGGGGTAGGGAATGTTTTCGAAATTGTTGTATGCGATACTTCTTGAGTTGAGATCTCGGCCAGAGTGGAGAGAGGGAAGTTGAGCCGTTGCGATCCGAGGGGTCGATTCCGAGGGTACATTCCGAAAAGGGAGGGAAAATGAAGGGTTGAGAAGGCAGTTGTATGTACCTCCCCACCTACCCAAGGTAGGTAAGTACACAAAAGAACCGGAGTCCGGGGTGGGGGAGGAATTGGCACCAACTAGGTAGCACCTACCTACCTACACAGCTATTAGGTAGTAAGCATAAGCAAGCTCAGTGGTCAATGCTTCTGGAGAGCCGAGAAGACGGACACACTTGGCTCTCGTCTATCTACCTAGGTACCCGTACCTAGGTAGTAGATTAGGTAGGTAGTGATGTAACTGGGTATATTTCCGTCTCGGATCGGAGCTCGACCGTTGCCCGTTCCAGGCCACCTGCGTGAACCTGCTCTCTCTCTTCTCTCTCTTCCAGGGAGGGCAACGGAGACTTTGACGACCCTCTCAGCATCTCAGACAAAAGAACCATCGACGCTCTGTTGTGATCTGGGGACCGTGGTGTGATGTGCCCTCGTTCTTCACGAGGTACTTACCGGACGGTGTAAATGCGTACCTGCGCTCACTCCACATTCCAGCTCCACAAGGCATATGAGGCCATGCAAGGCACACCTTACCTAAGACCCTCAAAGCCTTGAGGCACTGGACCGAAGCGTTTATGGCATTGGACGTAGAAGACTTGCCCATTCCGCGCTGTGGCTGGTGCACCCATGCGCCCCCCCCCGATCCATCTCACTGGACTCGATCAAGGTACGGACGGATAGCAACCCTTGCTATCGATAACGACATCCAAGCGACAGGATACCGTCTCAGAATTGGACGCTATGCTGGGGAGAAGCCTGCAAAGCTAACGGGTCGTAATTCACCACGCTCTTCAGACCTCTTCTGCAAATCCACGCTGAAGGAGTAATCAAGCACAGGGACCTGAGATTGTGCGCGACTTTTGTCATTGGCTGCACCGAAGGTCCCGAGTAAGCATCTTCATCATCTGACGGGGCCGCAGCAGGGTATTCGGCCATCCGGGGATCGAGATTGTTGGCAAACGCAGCCGAACAACGCCTCGGTCGAGTAGCCGATGCGACGTGGGTCGTACATACCCGAGAAAGATGAAGAAGGGGCCTAAAGGAAGAAACATGGGAACGAAGAAGCAGCGTCTAGGTAGTTGTTGACTCGCTATGGACGCACCTCCAACTCGGCTTTATGCAACGGTATAATATCCAAGTGACGGTTAACGGACGGTGCGTCCTGGTTCGTTCGACATCTCATCAGCCGATCAACCGAGCGTGTCGTTTGCTTTCCCTTTCCACCTTCGCAACGTCTTGCCCCCATCGTCAAAGTCGCGTGCGCTGTGCACACTGGCTCGTGGCTGATGGGGGGCTCGTGCGCCGAGGGAACTGCACATTTGAGTGTGCCGCAATTGCTCGGCATCAACTCTGCTGATGCGCCGTCGGTGAGTCCGGCTTGCAGGGCCATCGATGCTTCATTATGCCCCAAGCAATGGCTGGCGGACATGGCCAACGGCATTGAGTTGGGCAGAGATGGGTCGTCAAGTAGTTGTCAAGCTGAATTGTGTTGAATGCATTGCCGAAAAGAAGACACGTCCAACATGATTGTTTAGGCGGTAACGTCATTTGCAACCCCTCCCAGCACCGCCATCGGACGGCCGCGATTTGAGGAGAGGGCTGTCGATGGGCAGGCGAGCAGGGGGGCTCCATGGCGTTGTGCTTTGTTGGCCAAGCAAGGCTGATTGACAGCCCAGCTTGGAACCGTGGACAGGGCGGCCAAAGAACATCGTTAGGGCTAAGCAAGAGCGGGCCGCCGAATGGTGAGGGTGGTCGACGGCGATGGCCGGCGGGAGCTGTAAGGACGACACTGGGCTGGCAGCTTTTAGCTCCTAGCCCAGCTCTTCCCATCATGCACACCATACCCTGGACGCGGAGAGAGCCTCTGGGTGTCTGCAAAGGCTGCATTAGGGCAGGATGGCGAGGTTGCGATGCTTTGCATTCTTGCAGCTGTACGGAACAGTGGGATTAACAAGCAGCCAATGCCATTGGGCTATTGCGCCATTGCGCCATTGCCATTGCCAGTGCATCCGGGAGCGAGTGAGTCGGGAGTTGCAGTGACAGCAATGTCCCATTATCAGTCAGCGACAGAATCCGGTGCGTCCGTTTGGGCCGTGTCGTTCGGGCAGCCTCTTAGGCTTCGATCCTCCTCCCCCTTTTCTCGCGCGTGATCAATGGGCATGGCATGATCGACTTCCCAATGGATGAATGGACGAGTCCCGAGAGCAGTAAGGCGCAGGGGCCAAGCGGGATATGCCCAATAAACGAAATCACGTCGACTGGGTTAGAGTGGATTGGAGTGTAGTTCGCTACACTATTTGATGGGCTCGACGACAGGGTTGATGTTGTCTTGCTTGACAGAGAGCCCACCGAGGGCCATGAACTTTGAGCGAGAATCAGGTGTTGGACTATCAGGGGGAGGGGGCGGAGTTGAGTGGCCAGCCTCGCTGGGTGGGCTGGGCAGTAGATTTTACCATCAGGTACTCCGTACACCACCGATGTGTTGTTGCTTATTGTACTCCGTACGTGGCATATCATTGTAGGCCAAGGCGAGAAAAGAGAGGCAAGGCAAACCAAACCAGCGGGGAGGCAACCGTGCAAAGACGAACAGCGTTGAGCCCGGACCTGTCGGGGAGCAGGGGTTGCAGGAAGAAGTCGTGTCGATGCCGATCCTCGAAATTGAATGATACGCTAACAGGAAGAAGGGGAGGCCACTTGCACCACAGCAAAAGGGCACAAAAAAAAAGAAGAAGAAGAAAAGAGTGCATAGCAATCCATTGGAGGAGCCCCGATGGCACAGCAAATACTCAGGCCATTGCGAGAGGAAAGAGAAAGGCCGTAAGCCCGGTAATTTTGCTGCTCATTATGGATACCCTCAGCATTAACACGATGTGTTGTTTTACCCCTTCACTTTCCGCCTTGTTGAGGGGCGGGGTCGTCTTTGTTCCCGACTTGACCGTTGTCCATTTCAACTCTTCTGCTCGACGTCTCCCCCTTCTTTGTCGCCCGTCTTCCCGACATCACCTTTCCTACGAAATTGACGAAACTGTCAGTCTCCCTCGGGACCAAGAGATTGAGGTACGCAGAGGAAAAGAAGTCTCTCTCCATAGCACCTATTCTCTCCTTCCCCGCTATCGACCTACACACACACACACTCTCTCTCTCTCTCTCTCTCTCTCACACACACACACACACACACACACACACACCGCTGATACTTTCAGGTGTGTGGGTACGTGCGTGTATCTCGATCTCCCTCATCTCACTTTTGAGGACCTTCCTTGTTGGCTTGTTTCTCCCCCCAAGGTCAAATAGACGAATAACCAACAACAACCATCGGGGTGACGTAGGATCAAGTCGCGGATACACTTACTTCAATATCGGCTTGCTGCTACTATTCCTCGTCCGTTTACTTGGCTTGCCTACCTGAATACCAAGTACTTGCTCGTCGCTTGTGCTCTGTTGTGGACTCGCCTTGCCACGCGACTTCCCGAACTGTCCGGTGGTGGGCCAATCACAGACCCCTGCAGGCATCTGTTGAACAAAAGACACAGGCCACCACAGAAACAGGACTCTCCTGAGTTCTGCACTTGCAGTACCTCGTCACCCACTTTCGCCGCAAGAGTACTTCCAACCGACAAGGCTCCCGAAGAAAGAAGAAAGAAAAAAAAAAGTCCACCCGCGCCCAGTTTACCTAAAATCACGGTCCAATCCCATCGCACGACGACCGGGCATCGATAATCCATCTACTCAGTACCTTTCCTCTCCCTCCCTTCCTCCCATAGCTTTCTCTACACACACACACACACACACACACACTCTCTCTCTCTCTCTCTCTCTCTCTCTCTCTCTCTCTCTCTCTCTCTCTCTCTCTCTCTCTCCCTCCCACACCCTCACCCGTTCTTCTTTCAATTCGCAACTCAACTCGGTCGCAAAGCAGAAAGGGTCATCAGAGACCAGGTAGTGCGCCGGGTCTTCATGCACGTATTGGATCCTCTCCAACCTCCGGCTTCTGGTTATCTATCATCTGAGTAGCTGGTAACGGTGCGTCCTGGTAAGTGTTGACCGTTGTTTATCATCGCCCGCCTTCAATCCAACCCAATTCGTCGATCCGGCACATCGATGGCCTTAGTGGCCCCTCAAGCGTGCATTTAGCGCTTCCTTTCTTGTCTCGTTTGAGCTTCCATCAAACCTTTCAAGGAGGTCGGACGAGTACCTTGGCTCCCAGTAATCCTAGCGGGTCTATTTTTTAGTGGCCGCCGGTTCTGCCTCTGCGACCGCGCGTGCGCCACTGACATGCTGACCGACAATTTCCCTATTTCTCAAACCTCCAACTCTTTTCTACTTCTTCCATCACATCTGCCCAACCCTTCGGATGCACGCAGCCTTTGCTGATCGACTGTTTGTCTTCCTGTACAGGGCACTCTCCATCCTCGACTTCATCATTGAAAGCATTGCATCGTCTTCGTCAAATACCTTGATTTAACGCTCGCCTGGTCTCCCTGCAGACCTCGACGCCTCCTTTTCCAGTCCAATTACCGAGTCATCCGCAGTCGGTTGCATCGCATTTCAGCAATGCCCCGTAGAATTGCGAATCCCTTCTCGACCTCTTACCCTTCCGCCATGCCGCTTACCGAGAAAGAAAGGAGACCCTCTCGTTCCGGCAACCGCATCGCCAACTTCTTCACCTCTCCCAAGGGCGCCAAGGACAAGGACCACCAGACAGCCCAGCAAGCCCTCTTGGCCATGCAGCAGCAAAATGTTTCTTCAACCCAAATCACTCCCTCCACCATCTCACTCCCCACCATTTCCCTCTCAACCGCCACCGCTGGCGAGCCGGATACCAACGAACCCCCTACTACTCTCTTTTCCCCTCCCTCCATGGTGGAGACGGAGAAGAAGAGACGCTTCGATGCTCAATTCGGTCCTCTGCTCCATCCTAGTCACCGATACGTGAGCAAGTCCAACGACGGCAAGCCGCTCGACCCGCCCATCATTGATGAGCCGCCCTACTACTACGTCCTCACCACCTACATCAGCTATTTGATTCTCATTCTGTTCGGCCATGCCCGCGACTTCTTTGGAAAGCGCTTCGGCGACAAGAAGCATTACCAGGCCCTCAAGCCCCAGAATGGATATGCCCCCCTGAACGAGGACTTTGACAACTTCTACGTCCGTCGTCTGAAAATGCGCATTGACGACTGCTTCGCGCGTCCCATTACTGGCGTTCCTGGTCGCTACATAACCCTCATGGATCGCGAGTCCAGGGATTATAACCGTACCTACAATTACACCGGCACCCATACCGAGACCCTGAACATGAGCTCCTACAACTACCTTGGCTTTGCCCAATCCGAAGGCCCTTGCGCCGACGCCGTGGAGGAATGCGTCAAGAAATACTCCCTCAGTACCTGCAGCCCTCGTGCTGATGTTGGTACTTCGGACTTGGCCCTCGAGGTCGAGAAGGAGATCGCATTATTCGTCGGCAAGCCTGCCTCCATGGTCTTCTCAATGGGTTTCGTTACGAACGCTAGCTCTTTCCCCGCGCTCGTGTCCAAGGGTTGCCTCATCCTCTCCGACGAGTTGAACCACGCCTCCATCAGAGTCGGTGCTCGTCTCTCCGGCGCCGTCATTTCCTCCTTCAAGCACAATGACGTTGTCGATCTCGAACGCAAGCTCCGTGAGGCCATCTCTCAAGGTCAGCCTCGCACCCATCGCCCGTGGAAGAAGATTCTTGTCGCCGTCGAGGGTCTGTATTCCATGGAGGGAACCATGTGCGACCTGCCTGGTATCATGGCTCTCAAGGACAAGTACAAATTCTACCTTTTCATTGATGAAGCCCACTCCATTGGCGCTGTTGGTCCCCGCGGCCGTGGAGTCTGCGACTACTTTGGCATCGACCCCAGCCGCGTTGATATTCTCATGGGTACACTCACCAAGTCCTTTGGCGCCAACGGTGGCTACGTTGCTGCTGAGAAGAGCATCATCGACAAGTTGCGCAGCTCCAACGCCGCGACCATCTTGGGCGAGTCGCCTGCGCCTTCCGTTCTTATGCAAATTCTGGCCTCCCTCCGCCTGATCACCGGTGAGCTCTGCCCTGGCCAGGGTGCGGAGCGCCTGGAACGTATTGCCTTTAACTCCCGCTACCTCCGCCTCGGTCTCAAGCGTCTGGGCCTCATCGTCTACGGCCACGACGACTCTCCCATCATCCCCGTCATGCTCTACAACCCTGGCAAGATGCCCGCCTTCAGTCACGAGATGCTCAAACGCAAGATTTCTGTCGTCATCGTCGGCTATCCCGCAACGCCGCTCATCAGCTCGCGTGTCCGGTTCTGCGTATCTTCGGCCCACAACAAGGACGATCTTGACAGACTCCTCGCGGCGGTTGATGAGGTTGCCGACAAGCTCCAAATCAGATTCTCCACCGGCATTGCTGGCGGCCAAGAGCCTCTTCCTGAAGGCGTCACTCCTGAAAAGGAGAAGGAGTGGCGCAAGGCCAACGGCTTGGAAGGCGCCTACAAGCCCCCTCGCTGGAAGCTCGAGGATGTTATAGCTCGCGGTGTCCAGGATGCCAAGACGCGCTTGCGATAAACGACATGTCTTTGCAGTCAAAGTTGGAGACTTGCAACGCGAAAATATGTCACGACTGGTCAGACTCTTTGGGTCAGACAGTGACGAGGCGCGGACTGAACGGAACAATGAAGCAACGTCTCTCGGCGAAAGAGGGGGTTTGGTACCTTGTATTCAACCCCGCCTTTGCATGATGCTTGTGATATCAATGTTGAGTCTCTATTCTATTATCCTTGTTTGGGAGAGAGAGCCTGCATGGCCCTGGCGTTTTTGGGAGTAATGGTCGGAATAGCGAACGAATTCATGTGCTACGGCACCGTACCAATATAACTAGTAGTATTAGGCTCCAAGGAGCTGAGAAACATAGACAACTAAGGCAGCTTAGAGTAATGGACATACCCTTTATTGGACACCCTCTTGGTCGCACAGCGAGTGATGGGCAATAGTTATTTACTTCTCTACCTAGGACCTAGGTAACTGGTGACTCGGATCTCCAGCATCGCTCTCTCCTGTGGAACCTCTCTAGGCGGGTTATGCTCAGGTCTGCGTAGCATTGTATCATGACTTGCACGAGAGCCAAGCGACCGGCCTTCAGCTGTTCCGCTGCGCCTACCAGCCCAATATATAACTTGCAATCCCATCAGCGATGCGAAACCCTAGTTATTTCCCTTTCTGCTGAATTTCAAGTCTTTTTCTGTGATTTGGCTGCTCATTTTTATTATCCTCCCTCTTCCTCCTAGCCCATCGTTGCTTCCGTCTTAGGACAGATTGCTCCTAAGATTGCTCCTCCCCTCTGGACTCTGGATGTTAAGAGGTAGGTACTACAGAACGACCTACTTAGGACCTACTGAGGTGGCCACCGAGACCTGAATTAAACCGCTCCCTGCTTTGAAGCTCTCCTGCTTATCTTCACATGCGGTTCACGTTCCCTAACCGATTTGTTTCCACCAAAGTTCTACCACCTGCATCACCACCCTCCTTCATCCTCTTTTACCCGACAAACATCTTACTTCATCCCATTTTTACTTGAAGCGGGTTTTGGAGAATTATTCTTCGATGCTCATTTTTGTATCCCTTCCTGGACTGCTGTCTTTTTCTTTTCTTCTTCGACATTCTTGCCCTTCTTTCCATTGTTGGAACAAGTCGCTTCGTGGGCGGTGGCCACCTTTTGACGCCCTCCATCTTCGACTTCCGATCTCCAAGCTCTACAGAGTTTATCGAAGCAAGCAACGAAGTTTGAATGCTTGGTGAGACTAGCAGTTCATCATTATGACAGAAAACCGCACTCGCTACGGCTTTGTGCCGACTAATGTGGCGACCGATCACGGGTCATCTCAAGAGACTTCCCAACACCACCGGGACTTGGTCATCACATCGCTACCACCCCTCCGACCTTCAAATTCTGCTCCCCGAAGATCATATGCTACTCATAGTCAAACTATCGGCGTACATGATGGTGACAACTACAGCCTGTGTGGCACTTACGACCACTGCCAACCGACGACTTCCTGGGCAGCCGCCAAGTCACCACCTCGAGCACCCAGCATTACTTCGGTAACCTATAAGCAGAACTTGAAAATTAGTTCCGCCAGAGACTCTATCAAGACTTCTTGTAGCCCGATTCGGCCACCTTCGTCTTTCTCATTGCCAGTCGATCCCAATCAGCACGCAAACCTTACTGGGAAACCTCATTCAGACGCAAGATCCTCGCCGTCGACCGAGTATATGCCAGTACCCCAGCCTGCGACTTCAAGTAGTCTCAGAAAATCCCGCAACATGCCTCGTTTGGAGGCCAGAACCAGCAATGACGTCGACATTCGAACCCAGAATAGTCACGGGAGTCTCTTTGTCGAACAGGGCGACCCAGCTCGTGGCAGCTCTTTCCTGGACTACGCAGTTATGTACTTCCCAGCCCCTTCATCTCCGTTGAGGATTCCGTCATCTCCAAGCGACGACCATATCGGAAATCTCAGAGTCGCAGCCAAGTTGGAAAGCCGCTCCTACCAAACTGGGTTTTTCCCGGAGGCAAATTCATTCAGCACACATGACTCCGTTATCGACGAAGATGAAGTAACTGTAAATACTTTCGCGGGCACTCGAGTTTCGGGTTTCATCCTCGAAGATGATGACTCTGACAATTCTGACCGGAAGAATAAGATAACACCAGAGGCCGGAGCCAGTGATAGGGGCGTCAGAAAGTCGAAGCTAAAGCAAACAGAGCACACGAAACCAGCAGTAATCGGCGATGACGTGGGCATTTCGAACCATCGGTCATCGCAAGCTTCTTGGTTCCCGTCCGACCTTGAACACGCGACAACACCTCAAGACACAACTCCAGAGTCGCATTTCTCGCTGAAGGATTTTGTGTCCAAGTCAAAGGTAGAAGAAAGATTCCAAACACAGAAGGGCAAAACGTGCCAGACGTCAAACGCTGCTAAGAATGGCACACAGGAGACGAAATTGACAACTGCGAGGACATCTCGTAGCGCCAGTGGCTTCAACCTGATGTTAAATATGGCGATCAGAGCAGCCAAGCCTTCCATCCGCGTCGAAGCGGTGCCGAAGCAGGTCTGCGTATCAATTTCTCGAAACCCCCGTCAGGATGCCCGCGCTTCCAAAACCTAGAACGCTTTGAAAAAGGACACCCCATCGAAGATAACAGCTGGGCTTGAGCTAAGCGAAAGATCTGCATCAGCTGAGTCTCCACGATCTCTCACTTCTACTAGAGATGGTGCAGGAGAAGACTTGGGCATATACAAAGAGCACAGCATACGCAAAACCCCGCCAAACGCGGTATCAGGAGCGAGGGACAACACTGTGCTTCCAGCTACATCGCCGTCAAACACGTCCCCTCGGGTCACGCCAAGCTCGTGGAGAGCCACAACATCAGACCGGAAGCCAAAGGTGTTGAATCAGCGTAGAGTGGACCCCAGCACCTTGGGATTGATACCCATCAAGACTTTACCTGGCCCCCTGTACGAAGAGCAATATCCCGTTACGAAATTCGCAAACACAAAATATTCGGCAGAGACAGGAAGCATGCCCTCCTCTCCTATTGAGAAGGATGCCAGGGCGGGATTAAGGATGGGTAGGCGTCGAAGTCGAACACTCCCTAGCCCCCATAGAGCTGGTGCCCTCGACCGCGGCATTGCAGCAGCATCCGCTGCACATCACTCTCGCGGTAAGTCTCTTAGCATATCGTTTGCATATTCCGGTATACTGTTTGAATCGGAGTAATGTTCTCTTATCGCATACGGCTTGGGCGGCTTTGTTGGAGAATCAAATTCATGAGTTGGACTGATACAGGCTTAGGCACTGGCAGTGGCTACCGTGGTTCAATTCCATCTCAGTTACTAAATGACCCAAAGGAAAGCAATCATATTCCGACTGGCGACTACTGCCCACCCTCTAAACACGAACTGTATGGTCGCCATCGTCAAGCTAGAGAGCCGCGAGGCCCTGTTCCCCAACCCGACGGCCCCCGGACGCCCATTCGCAAAGGCGGAGCACGAGTTCAGCCGGGAAGAAACTCACCTCTGTCCGAGAAACAGCTTGTCGGGGAACTCCGATTTTCCAATGGCTGGCCTGACCGTGCCCGTAAACGAAGAGTGTCTTCCTTCCGTAGCCCAAAGTCAATCCAGGAAGATGGGCCAGAGAAGAAACGCGTGCGGGACAAACGATTCGAGCCCGAGACAGCAATGAGCAAGCGTCAAACAACCGGACGGCAAGATCCAACAGGGTTCTTTCAACCAAGCAATGTTGAATCACGGTCAGTTATGCGCAAGCATAACGTCAATATTGCTAGCAGTTCTAGTGGCACAAGTGTGACTTGCGCATCCGGTACAGACAGCCGGCTCATTGATCGACAACATACTTCTGATGGTTACGCCGAAAGCGTTGAGGACCATGTCAAAACTCTTCATAGAAGCATGGGGCCGATGAAGAAGAGGAGACTGGGTGGATTGGCCCAACTCAAGGTGCAACGAGAGTTGAAGAAAGAGCGGCCTGATGAGTGTCCTTCAAAGCCGTCGGACACGACGGACACTACAAGCCGAACAAAAGATAAATGACGACAAATCCCGTAACTTACACCGTTGTTGAGCCGATCAAGCTTCTCAAATATGGCCTCGATTGAGCCGTCTACCGCTGAGACGGAATTTGGTTGTTGGATGCGTCTACTTTTGACTAAGGACGATTTATTGGATGTTAGAAACCAGCTGTTGAACAAGGGGATGGATGGTATGGCCATCGTTCTAGAACGAACAGAAAATCCTTACTGTGTACGATATGGCGTGTTGGAATACGAGTACAAGACGGGAAGGGACATGGAGTGAGATGATTAGGTCTGAGAGTATACTAGCTGGATACTGGCTGTGGCTATGAGTTGGCATGAGTGTATGATACCGTATTGGAACAAGAGATCAAGGAACATTCTCTTCACTTCAAAGTCTCGCAGCTGGCTGCGAGCACTCACTCACTTTTCCTGGTGCTTTTTCGTGTCTCTATCGAACCTCGTTGTCACCACTTCACTTACTGGTGGCGAGAAGACGAAGCGCGAGAGGCTAATGGTTTGAGATCGATCACTCAGGCTTTCAAGCAGGTCTTCTAAGCTTTCCTAGTCACGGATCTACTGCTCAGGTCTCCAGAGGCGCATCGCGATCCCAGAATTGCCTAGAATCGCTGCTACACAATCCCCGACTTCGTGGGGCCGCGAGAACGATACGAGGCGGCAACGAGGGTCTGATAGCAGCTCTCCTGCGACGTGAAATCTGTCCTGGAAGGTTCCGTAAGCTCAGATGATAGGCGAGCGGCATCCATAAATATGCAGAAATAGCCTTCATAGTCGACCTTGACACAAGGACCCCAACAGCCTGATTGCGGGATCCTGCCTATGGTTCCCGCATAAGAACGTATAGGCTCCTCTAACCGAACAAGAAGCTTCAAACCCCGAAAACAAGGGTAGATGATGACAAAGTTTAGCGGGACTGCTAGGCGGGATTGGACCTCGTGGAGACCTCGAGGCGCTTGGCGCCCATGTGCGGCCCCCCCCATGTCGAGAAGCCTTAGCACGGACTTTTTGGTATCGGGGACTTGGTCGGGTGCCAGACTTTGCGACGGGACCGCCCGAGGAAATCCCAGTGTGAGGCTTTTCAATAAGCCAAAAGTAAAGGGAAAGGGGTGGGTAGAGACTCGGCCGAGCGAATTCTAGTTTGGACCCTGGCGAGAGCCTGAGTCAAGGGGGGAAAACATCAAATTGGAGACGGTCTGATAGCACCGAGGTATGTCTGCATCTACCCCCCAGAAGATGTGCCGTGAGGGGAATGAGTGCTTGAAAATGAGAAAAGGATCGTGCGATAGATGTATTTTTCCGTTTTCGGAAGATACGGCGAGCCAGGGGCATCCTATGAGCGAGCACGGCGTCGGAGGCTCGAGATGAATAACATCTGGCGACTCTGCCGTTCTCTCTTCACCCGCGGGTTGATATTATACAAGCCAAGATAACGTTTCATACATAATACACATGGATGGGGGAGGGACTCAAGGTGTTGCTGGGGAAAGCGGTGCTGTGAGCTGGAGAAATGTGGCATGTGGCAGTTATATGGAGATGTCAACGCGAGGGGCGGAGAGTTGGCGATTCAGAACAGCATTCACGAAACGAGATGGTCCAAGATAGCCAAGCGGGGGGGGGGGGGGGGGGGGGGGCTGGCCGAAATCAAGTGGCGTAGAGTAGAAGCAACCTTTTCTGGCGTCTTTTTGGAAGGTTGCCATACGTGACATCCGGCATGTCAACTGGACCCTTGGACTCATCTTCCACCTCCTTGGTGGCTGTTTTTTTCTGTAGCGCGGGTGCTGGGGCGAAAGTGTGTTTGCACATGTTGGCAACAGGTGTGCTGGGTCGGCAGAAAGCCTGAAACACAGACGACGAATAACGGAGGGGCATCTCGCTCGGGGCCCTTTGATTTTCACTTTCTTCCTTTCTACAGATCTCGGTCACGGATCGACCTGGTTCTTTCGAGGGTGAGACATGACACGGTGGGTTGGTTGTTGGGCGTTTTCCACAGAAGACCCATGTTTTCAACCGAAGGTAGAGGTCACATCAGCAAGGGGGTCCGGGCGATGTTGAGTAAGTAGCGGGGTGGCCGCGGCATAGCAAAAGAGTTGCGATGAAGGACGACAAACAAGTAGGGATGGTGGGGAGACGGGCAGGATGACGGTGATGAGGCGGGAGAGGATGATCGACGCAGGGCGCTCAGCAGAGTTACTGGTAGTAGAATCGACATGCCCGGCCGATAACTTTTTTTCCTTTTGGCACGAGTGATGTGCCCATAGCCCTGTAGGGGTTTCTCTGATTGAAATTAAATTGAAACCCAAGGGTCCAATGGGCCACAGGTAGCAGCAGCTTTAATCGTGGTAGTTGCGACTTCGCCCTGGAAGGCTGAGACGGCCACATAGTACGGGTACACTGTCGATGATGACAACAATGGGTGGGTACCAACCGGCCCATGCCCCGTCCTTAGGTATGGAGTGGTAACAAGTACACGAATGATGGACGCCCCTCCCCCCGGGCTGATAAGTCGCGCAGGCCGTTGGCTGGCCCTTTTTATATGACGACAGCTCCTCGATACATTAAAATGCCTCATGGGGATTCTCGAACGGTCGTGCTGTACTGGATGGATGGGCCAACCGAGAATTTGTGGAAACGGACTGGAAGCCTGCGAACGCGTCGTATGTGGGCGATCTGAGGCCTAGACTGGCGGAGCTCCATCCAGAGATGCTCGATGGAAACGTAGGGCAAGGTGGGGGGGGGGGGGGGGGTAATGCTCCGTTTGGCTCACTTGAACCGGTGCCCGACGGCGGGCGATGGGTTTGTCGGACCCGATAGAATCGAACCATTTTTATTCATAAAACAACGGGTTATATAGGGCGGGTAGGCAAGGAGCGACTCGGTAGATGAGATAAGTGTCGTGTGGGCTTTATATGACAAAGTTGGCACACTGACGCGAACCAGTATGAATCCTGGGGATGCAGTGTACTGACGCAAGAAAGCGTGCGGGGGGGGCTGGACGACCGGGATTGTATTTTTTGTTCTTTCTGGCGTGGTATAGGCGGCTCGACGGAAGCAACCTCCATCCTACATAGGAGGCCTGTGGGTTGCGGGCGCTTCGCGGCAAGGTCAGCGAAGATTCCTATGGACGTTAGGGTTAACGGAGACCAACTGCGGAGGTATCCGAGTATTGGACGTGTCGAAAGGCAAGGTCAGGCAAGGCAAGACGGGTTTGAGACGGAATCAACGGAGGTGAGGCCATCCCGCAGGCGTCCGGAAAGCCGTAGTCGGGACTGAGCGACACGGTTGGTGGAAGACCAGACGGTGCTCGGACGGGGTGGAAAAAGCAACGAGGTAGCGGCAAAAGCATCTGACAATGACTTCACCGCATGGCTTGTCCCGAGTCTCCGGCTGCGTCAACCGCATGTTTCTGACTCTTTTTTCCGTGTTTGGACCGGGAGCTTGATGAAAGCTTAAGATTAAGATCCAACGCAGCCGAGTCGACGATCCTGGCGAGAAATCCGAAATCCCGAGAGTCATCATTAGACACAGGGGACGGGCGGTTGACTTGTCATATTTTGGCCATCCAATGCCAAAAGTCAATTTCAGTGCCAACCAACTTGTCCATCTACTTGGGTACACTACTATAGGTATCCTAAATCCCTATTAGGTATGTAGGTAGGCAGCGGAGGCAGCAAACGGGGCCCACTTCCGGTTAGCGATTGGCAACGGCCGGGCTGCTCGGTCCCAATTACCGATGGATGGGGCGTTGGAGTGGCAGGACTGGACACAGCCGGTTCGGCGTTCCACCGGCGCGCAGCGAGCAGGGCCTTTTCTCATCTTGCAGGCCGTCAAATCCCGTCGATTCTTTGGGCCAAGTTTCTCCCTCTTTTTTCTTATTTCTTTGCTTCTTTTGTCCGTCTTCTGGCGCGGCACGTTTCCTTGCGCGTATTGATTCAGTTGAAAAAAAGAGAGACATGCAGACGGCTTGGCTTCTGGAACATACCAATGGGGTTGCAACGAAAACCCGTCGACATTTGCCCGGAGATTGACTCTGTCCGTCTGCTTGCTTCTGTCTCGTCAGACCTAAGACATATGGCAACCGCTTCAGCTTCAGCTGCCCAAGCAGCAAGCCGATGCACCATGTCAGCTACATGGACCAGTGGAAGACATATATATGCCTCGTCGTGGTGATAAGAGCGAGTCCCGTGATGATCAATAAATAAATAGGGTAGTAGGCAGGGAAAGGTCTCGCCAAGGATCTGTTTGCTACGCACGGTATCTAACGATTAGCCGCTTCTCGGAGTAGAGCGCGACATCAAGCAGGCAGGCAATTGGACCGAGTCAATGGCCCAGGGATAACACACCCCTCCCCTGGGCGCTAACATGCTTTCGGGGCCGCGATAATGGGTCGACTAATGGTGGTGGCACGGCGCAACTCGCCCTTTTGGTTTTGCTTGGTGGTCGCCGTGGTAGTAATGGTGGTGGCATCCAGACGGACATTGCGTTTTGCAACAGCATGGGAGATAATATTGACGCCAAAAATTGCCTGCGATATGCCATGCACTGTCAAGGGGGGGGCAGCACAGCAAGAGGGTGGCGGCAAATGTACATGTTGGTCGTACATGATATAATAGTACAAGATGAGGGCGGCTTTGCCTGCAATATCTCCTCTGTCAAGGCTGTATCCCGAGTGCGAGCGTATAACATTTTACCGGGTACCTCATATAAGGAAAACGATATGCAAAAATTAAAAGGAAAAAAAAAAAAGATAAAAGATAAAAAGTACAAAAGAAAAGAAAAAAAAACCGAAAAAAAAACCCCCCGAACCCCCCCCCCCCCCCCCCCCCCCCCCGATGCTCTGGAGGCTGATGCTTCTAAAGGTTGCTTATTTGCTTTTCATCCTACTAGGATCTCTTCCATATCCATTACGCTACCTGTTGCTACGGAGGCACCGGAGGCGCCCTTCTCACTGGCTTTCCTGGATCGTACCGATACCTACTTACGTACCTGCAGCTCCACTGGTAGGTGCTGTGCAGTGTGGTGCCTTGACCTAGGCGAACACACACTCGCACTAAACCTGGGACCCCCACCGCGACACAGGGAACAGCGGACGGGGAGGGAAACCATCAGGGAAGGTACCTCCAACAGCGCTGCGCTCTCCATAGAACCACATGTACTGCAAATGTCTACGTACTTTCCCCCCCTTCTACGGTACCTACATACCTACCTACCAAGGTAGGTACCTTATCTACTCTCGTACAGTGAGTGGTACAAAGTACTCCTTCACAAGTCCCATCACACCAAAGCAGCCGCGGCCCCCGCCTGCAGCACGCCAAAATCCAATTCAGGTCCAGGCCAGGTCCCCCCTCTGCAGTTGCTGTTACCGCTATTACTGCTGCTGGTGCCTGCCGCTGCCAAACGCTCTCGTCCACCTTTATTCGCCTGAGCCCAAGCCCGAACGGCGATCCCATCTTCGAACCTGACTTGTCCTTCCAACTCTTGCAGTCTGCCCCGGCTACCTACTTTACCATCTTAGTCTCTCTGAGTAGCGTGCATCAGATTGAGCCTCTTTGCACTTACGCCTTTTACCGCCATCTCCTCTCTCTTTCTCTTCCTCCCCTTCTCTTGACATCAACCTTTCCAACGAAAGTCGGCCAGGAACACCGACAAGCGGCGAGAGGAACCGATGCCCGTGATTCCTCCTTTGTCAGCCCGATTCTGTGTGCTGCTTCCACACCCCCAATCTCTTCTGCAACGGGCCCCCGCAGCCGCCCTCACGACCGTCTTACCCTGAGGGCACCCCTGGCGCTTCTCGATACTCGACATCCCCGATTCCTCTTCGCCCTCCAGCCTTCTCTTCTCCGTTTCGATCTCTCTCTCTCTTTCTCTCTCTCTCCCCCTCTATCTCTCCCGATTGCCGCGACCCCCACTGCCGTCGCCTTACCTCCGTTCCGACGAGCTGTTGCGCCTCCTCCCCTTGCCTCCCTTGCCTCTGATCCGCCCGACAGCCCATCGACGCTAGCCATGAATTTCGACTCGGGCATCTACGCAGAGTCGGACGCCGACGACGAATACGAGCGTAGTCTTGGGCCCAACTCGCCCGTCGCCGACGACGAGGGATCACCAATCGACTCCGAGCTCCCCTCTTCCAGCGAGCACACGCCCACCACCTACGGCCACCGCAGCAGTGCCGACCGCCTACCCGAAACCATCATCTCTGAGTGGACTGCCGATGAGTGCGCCGACTTTATCAGCACAATTGGCCTGCCGCAGTATGCCGATAGCTTCGTTGGTAAGCTGAACCTTCTTCGCCACCGTCCCTTCCCCGCGCTATTGTGACGCCTGACTGACTCATGCCCTTCGTCAGAGAACGAAATTGTCGGCGAAGCCTTGGTTGCTTTACAGCATGACGACCTCAAGTCCATGGGCATCGCCAGTGTCGGGCATCGCCTTACTATCCTGAAGAGTGTCTACGACGTGAAGAAGGCCCAGGACATCCCCATAGAAAGCGACCACTATGTGCCCTTGTGTAGGTGATGCCGCGTTCTGATCCCCCACTAACTCCCTGCTGACCTTTGCATTCCCTTTGTAGCTGCCGATGCGGAAGCTCAGTATGCGACAGCTACCCTTAAGGATATTAAACACCTTGTTGAGCAGCTTCGCTTGCGAGACGAGAGGATGAGCCTGGTGGAGAAGGACCTGCGTAGACTGTCAGAAGATTTCAGGCGGCTGCGGGAGGATATGCTGCCTGCGTTGCGTCTAGCAAAGGACTCGTCACAACCACTACCGAATGTCTCCAACAACAACAATAACAACAACAGCAATAACAACAACAGTAACAACAACAACGGCAACAACAACAGCCAGAATTATGGTTACGACACTGTATCGCCACCGGCACCGACGCCTTCTTCGGCCCAGTCGATGAGCCTACAGCGCCAGTACTCCACCAAGAGGATTATGCTGGGAACGACGCCCAAGAGCAGCTCGCCATCACATCTGCAAACAACCCACGAGAGGTCGATGGAACAAACGCTGGATCCATCAAATGCCGCGGAGCGAGCCGTCTTGTCATCGTCGCACCTTGCAGCCATGAACGGTTCAGCTACAGCTACCTCGCCCGGCTACCCGTCTCCAAACATGCCCTCGCCAACATCTCCTCCTACGCACGGTGGTGCAACGCTGGGTTCACGATCTTATCGCTCCGACCGCTCGGAAGTCCCCACCCCTTCCTCACGATCAACTTTTGCCGAGAACGACCACGGATACAAGGCTCGCGAACAAGCCACTGCGCCGAAACGTGGACCGACCCCCGCCCCCGATACGCCGAATACGAGCAACGCGTCCGTCGAGATCTTCAAGTCGTTCCGGGTTAGTATGGACGATCCGTGCTACAAGGTCCTACCAGCCGCTCTCAAAAAGTACCAGATTAATGCACCTTGGGATCAATACGCGCTCTACATTGTCTACGGTGATCAGGAGCGCTGTTTAGGACTGGAAGAGAAGCCTCTTATCCTGTTCAAGCAGTTGGATAAGGAGGGCAAGAAGCCCATGTTTATGTTGCGGAAGACGAACAACGCACAAGTCGACCCATCATCAGAACAGCCAGGAAGCGCCGGACTTGGGGCTAGAGGCGCGACAATGGGATATGATCCGCCCGGTGGTATCATTTAGGGGGCGATACCGTTACTGATCATGCTCGAAGGTTGCCCTTCGTCGATTTGACTGATTTCCCAACCGATTGACTGAACGAACACTAGCCGCGCGTAGGACGCGGGGCTGGCGATACCCGACAGGACCAAAGGATACCGGAGTTGGGGTTCGTTCACCTGCATAGCGCTGCGCGGAAGAGACACGACTGCTTTGGAACACTGCCGCGGAAACAGAGTGTGGGTTCGGTTGGGCGGGGGATTTCCTCCACGGAAAGTGTTTCGTCTTGCAGTTGTCCCTGGACTGGTCCGATTTCGAAAGGTGGATCCGAGCAATATTGTTTTCATTTTATTCATTTTCTTTCATGTACGAGCTCCAAGACCTCGAAGGAACGAGACCCTCGTCCAGGGATTCGTCGGTCCTTTTTGCGAAGCTGTTGGAACTGATTGCTCTTGGGGATCTAAGTAGGCTCCGGATGGGGCTTGCGCCGGGTGTAAGCGGGACCCGGGGGATGGGTATGGTGCCTGAGTGTGTCACGGTCTACGGAAGGTGGCTTGAACTGGAGTAGAGCGAGCGTGTAACCAACAGTCGGAAGGTGGCAGGGAATTTTCTTGGGTATTTGGGTGGCGGCATCTGCTCAGTGCGACCAAAGGAGTTGCGGGAGCTATCAAAAAGGAGCTGTTTTCAATTCTTGACATGGACTTTCACCATTTGCCGTTTTGATCGAGATTGTGACCTCGCAATGTCGGACGAATGCTCGTCCCTTTCTCCCGAGCGCGGAGGCAAATGACCCGATACATGGAACGAGCCCGCAAGCGTACGAGAATAGGACGATGTGGCCGGAAGAATGACGCTCACTTGTTGGCGTAGGGGTCCTCAACGCAGGTCGAGGGGGAAGTGGACGATCGCGTCAAGGATGGTTGCCAGACTCGCCTATTACTGACCTTCTAGAAGCATGGGCATCTGCCTCAGGATGGGATGACTCGCGGCTCCAGGGTCGACACGAGCATGGGCCGAAGGGGGTGGAGAAGGAAGCAATGGTGAGACTGTACTCTCTGGGTGTGATGCTTGGGTGACTGCCCATCCCGAGAAGCCCGATAGAGAGGCGGGTGATGGCGTACATACAGTACTTAGGGAAAGAGTGCGGGTACTTCTCTATTCGTCGGGTCCTCCCTCCGCCCCCCTGGTGCAGTATCGGCACAGATTCCGAGAGAAAGACCAGGGGGTGGGGTTACCCTTGGCTGCCTAGGTAGGTATTAGTTTGTTACTGGCACGGGGTTGGTATCGTAGTTGTCCTCGGGTACCACGGAGGGCCGGGTGGGTTGTCTCAGTGCGGTGGGTTTGGGGGTTGGTGTTCTGTTCCCACTTCCTATTTAGGTGGTTGTAGTGCTGTTTCTTGGAAGGCCGTTGAAGAACGTGAGATACTCCTTCGGACGGCTGACGAGGGTGTAGGGACTGAATGTTGCCGGTGGTTTTGGTGTGTGTGGTATTGAGTGAGTCAAAGTTAGGGGCGAGAAAATCCTGGTCGGAGCGCTATCTGGAATGGTGCGCGATGATCTACTGCGCGATGCCTCCTTTTTGAGTCTTATCAAGGAGCTTTATGAGGAGTACGAGAATGGTCTTGAGCAGGTTTCCGTTCGTGGTATGTGGACCTATTTTTGGGGGGTCGAAGGAGGTTCGGATGCGACGCCGGGACGGAGCGGAGGTGAGGGCCCGGGAATCTTGAACAATCAGCCCTTTAGAAGCAGGAAAGCCTCCTTCCCCCGTTTGCGTTTGGGAAGTAGGTGGTGCTGGCACGAATACGGCTTTTCTTGCGGGCGGCGGTGGCGGAAGGGGGAGAGATACGAGATTTTTGAGAGTTGGGATGTATCAGATGCGCCGCTAAGCTGTACACCAAGTGTATGCCGAGTGAAGAACCCGTTCTTTGTGGTGCTTTTGCCCAATGACCCTCCCGATGCTCCTGAGGTCCCTCTCTGTCAAGTGACCTCGAGAAAGGGAGTGAAGTTACAGCGTACAGGTTGGAAGGGGGGGTTGTTCAATGGTGAGCATGGCAAAGCCGTCTCACCAGACATACGCACTTCCGGGTGCTTTTATCATGCTTATCCGTATTGTCCTTCATTTTGACGAGTCGACCGCCTGACTGCCTCCTTTGGCGCGGAATTGCTTTTCTAAACTGGCCGGGTTAGGACCTCAGCACTTGGGATAAAGCCCCCACACGTTCGATTGATCTTCGCCTTTGACAAGTGTTTGGTGTTTTGGGGCAATGAAGGGTGGGGACGGGATGCTCGGCCGGGCGAGGTCGTTCGAGGCTGGTTTGCGGGGTGGGAGATACGGGGCGGTATCTCATACTAGTCTGAAGATTGTGGAGTTGAATTGATGTAGGTGGAATCAATAAATATGACTCCAGGTTGCAGCTATAGTGGTTTGGCGGGCTGTCCGACAGGACCAACTGGGCATTGTGTATTCGTAACGGTGCATCTTGGATGCTCACGACTAAGGCTAAGGCGGACAAGCTGATCCAGGGACTTTTGAAACTCCCATGTAAAGTGAGTACGGATGGGACTGAATCGCGTGCATGGAAGTGTATAGAATTTCGTAGCTGGGATCCGCGTGTGAAGCATGCAACGGCGTCGGCCATCTGAAGAGCTATCTACCCTCTGTCGGCTCGTTCAGATGGCTTGCTCGAAGGGCAGGCGTCCAGCTGGTCGAGTTGCCGTTTGGTGAGCTGAGCTGCTTGCTTGAGGCGACGACACGACTGAGTCTACTTATCTCTTGCATAGAAAGACAGTTTCAACCGGGCGGAAGGCTGAGTCGGATATCAAACTGCCATGGTACACCAAACTGCTCTCGATCTGCTGTCTAGCCCGTTTCCTGGGCCACTCCATTGACACCTATCTGACCCATGTCCGGCATCCGGCATAAACCCCACCTAGCAGCCTCAACTCCATGCCGCTCCAGCCCTTGAAGCCCAATGCTAGGGCTACGATGCTCGCCCCGTTCGCGACCCTGAGGTTCCACACTGCAATGATAATCCGTACCGCTGCCTCGTGCTGCCAGCACAAGGAATATGCTCGAATGGCTCGTGGTAAAGCGTCTCACTAGTACTGGCTGCCCCAGTTCGAGGACCGGGAGAGTGAACATGACATGAGAAGATCGCCAGTTCGATTCTGGCTTTGGGCAGAGTGCAAGTATTTTGACCCTTTGCAGCCGTAGTTTTAGGACTGTGGCTCTCTCTCTCGCTATCTGTTGGGCAAGGAGTTCTGGAGCGAATGGGTGACGGGGAAACGAATGAAAAAGAATCGGCCGTGTCGACGTTTGTTAAAAATGATGCACCACGAGCCTTCTCTGTAGACAAAAAGCACCTCGCTTTGACCAATGGAAGTTGTCGATACAGACGTATGATCCTCAGTGTCTGTGTGCATGCCCGAGCCTCGGATGTCCATTTCTGTCGGGACACTCGAAATGATACTTATTTCCACTATTGTTTCTCTCCCGTTTGGCAATCGCTACTGTGGCTTCTTCTGCTTCCACCGCTGCAGCCGATTCTCATTTTCTCTTCCTTGCTCTAAGAGGACTCGATAGCCCAGTTGCAGGCTGTCTGTTGCAATGGTTGCGACGATGAAAGATCTCGCATGTGGGGTAGTGGATGAGATGGGAACACTGGCAGCTTGGTTATAGAGGATGGAAAGACACAACTCCCCGGGTAATTGAGTGCTGCTCTGGTGACTTCCAGCATCATAGGCTTCAGGTGAAAAGTGGCGATGAAACAAGAGCCGAACATTGAAGTGACTAAAAGATTCAATCGGAAAAGTAGAAATACACAGCGCCGGGCACGCCATCATATTTATATAGATAAAAAGATATTCTAACAGGGTGACACTTCGTTGATTTACTGATTGATAAAATGCTGCCCAATGGGTTGTGACTGATTAAGAGATGTCCACGGAATGGATATGGCTCATTCGAGGCCCAAGATGAATTCTGGAAGATATCCTTTGGGAAGGAGCAGGTGAGTGTGCATCGAAGTTCGTGCGTGCCTCAGCTAGGTAGGTAGGCAGGTAGGAAGAGTAAGGTGCTCTCTCATTTCTTGCTTCTGCGCCTGCCCTTTCCTTACTGCCTACACCTCTGCCCTTTCCAGTTATCAGAGACTCACGTTCACAGCCTTCCCATACTCACAACTCTTTAGCTATTTCTCCGCCCGCTTGTGCAAGGGTTGTCAAAAGATATTCCCATCGCCTTACTTTATCAGGCGAAGGAATATTATCTACTGACTACCATCACAGAAGTTCGGAGTACCCCTCCGAGGCGTGGGAAGGAGAAAATCAGCGCAAAATATTACGTTCTAGCAGGTGGTGTGCGTCAAATTTGGCGTGTTCTTTATACTAGGGTTGTCTCCGTCAGTACTAACAAATTGCTTCTAATAGAAATATGCTTATGAGGCACCTACTACGAGCTTGATCAGTCCCGAGTATCTCAGACGTCGAGGAAAACAACGTATTCTTCCCATCCACAAAGGAAAAATCATCCACATCATGGAGCCTCACGACCAGACTGCCTCTGTGCTCCAGTCTGGCGGTATAGAATTCGCCTTCGGTACAGGCGATGGCTCTCACTCATTCACGTGGAGCCCTCCCGCTTCCGCGAGCTCCCCAGACAATGACCACCAGACAGCGTTAAACGATCGGAAACGTCGTCGAGTGCAGGTCGATATTGTCAAGCAGGGTGTTGCTTTGCTACAGCTTGGCTCGGATATGACCTATGACTTCAGCTCGACCCATGCCGAGGCTGAAAAAAAACTTGCGGGTGTCATCGCTGAGAGAGATCATCTTCGAAGGAACCTTGATGTTATCAAAGACGACCTTCGGGATACACTGGGTAGATATCGAGCGATTGCGAAAACGCTTGATGGTACCCAAGGGGAGTTTGATCACTACAAGAAGAATCACAGCCACAACGACGAATTTCTGCGCCGTCTGCAAACAAAACTCGACAAGAGCTATCAGAAACGTCAAGTTATCCACAACCATCGCAACCAGCTCATGAAAACCGTCAACAGCATGCGCAGAGAGGAGTCGAAGAACGAAAGCGAGCAGAGGCTTCTTCGCGAGAAGCTTGTCGAGGCCACGACTGCCCAGGAAAAGATTCGGCGTGAAATGGGGGAGGCCAGATGCCAATTTTCCAGGGATCTTGAACACGCCCAACAGAAAGTAGGCCATGCAAACCTGCAAAGGACCGAGGCCGAGGAGGAATTCAAAGTGGTCAAGGCCGAAATGGACAATCTTCGAGACCAGGTTCAGGTGGAGAAGACCAACCTCGCGCAGGAGCGCGAGGAACTACAAAAGGAATTGGACAGAGCCACGAAGAGTGAGATGAGATATCGAGATCAGGTCGCCCAGCTCGAGAAAGATACCGAAAGCCTCAGAAAAGAGCACAAAGGCTGCCAAGTATCGCATGAAAAACTACAAAGCGACCTTCTCAGCGCCCTCCAGGCAAGCGAAGAGGCCAGAGAAGACCTCAGCGAGGCACAGAAAGAACTGGACGAGAGTCACGACAAGTACGCCAAGTTGGTCGTCGAGATGCGGTTCTTGGAGGAAAAGAACACGGCCCAGTTAACCCAACTTGGAAGCGAGCGCTGCGAACACCTCCGCGAGAAGCGGGAGACCATCGAAAAGCGGAAAAAGGCCGAGGCCGAGATCAAGAGGCTCCGAGACGAAAACTACAGTCTGTCGTCAAAGCTCCGCGGTGGCACGCTGGAAGAAGAACTGCGAAAGGCGCTCGAGGCGGAACTCGGCAATTGAGATGAGTAAGGTTCAGAGGCAGTTGCCTATCTCGGGGGATGTACAAGTGTTGCCCGCAAATAGGTCAAGAACCAGAAGAGAGAGAAAGTTATATGGAAAGCTAGGAGGTGTCTCGACACGGCTGAAGGGCGCAGATGATCGGGCAGACTATGGAGTGTCTTGTGAACCAATTGCAAGGTTCCTCAAAAACGACATTCGATAGGCCATCAATAGTCTGTTGGCCAGAATGTGGAGATATAAAATTGTATTCTTGACTTTTAGGGCGGTCTGTTGTCGCCCTCTACAACGTGAGACCCAGACCGAGTGCTGTGGAGCGAGGCTTTAATGCGTGCAGTCCGGACCATCGCTTCTGAAAAGGCGGGAAACTTGTTTCCACCAGCACGGTAAGCAATGTTAGGGCAAAGAAAAGCATTTGATTTATTTCTTTTGACGATGACCTGACCGAGCTCTGGCCCGGCCTATCGAGCGAGCGACGGTGTGATGGTGATGATGATGATGATGATGATGATGAGAGCTGGCATGTGACTGCCGGCATCTACCACAAGCACGCCAAACAAAGCATTGTCAGCGCCCCCAAAAGGTCGGCGGCATATCGACCCAGACGGATTCTCCAGACATCCACTACAAAAGCCAGCCCCTGGCGAGGATTCCGAGGGAGCCCCTCCTTGCCCATCCAGCGATCTTTCCTCTCCCTTTCCTGTCTCGGCGACACCACGAGCTGCGGACGGGTTGCCGAGGTCCACCATCCAGTCCAAACCACATGCAAAGCCAGCGCGTGGTCTAGGCGAAGGCAGGCTATCAATCAGAATCGACGGGAAGGGGACGGGCGAACTCGGCCACAGTTGCGCGCACATAGCGTTGACGACGCCGGCCAGGCCAATGAACCCACGGTGGAACGAGGTGAAACTACCGCAGCTTTCCGCGCTCTTGGATGAGTGCCGGCGGACGGGGGTCTCGGACTGCGATAGCGGTCCAAAAATGGACGATCAAGAGCCGGCGCGGGATTTCCAGAGCCCGGCTCGGTACGCATTCGGCAGCGACATGTTTCCTTGTGTCTCACAGGGGACTTTGTACTAATTGGCGTGCGCGCGCAAGCAAACAGCTCACCAAGTGCGGTGTCCCTTATTAGAAACAAAATACAGCTTAACATTGGACGCCTGAAATTGGCCTACTAGGCACCGTGGCTGAGGTTGATCATTATTCAATTCTCACGCGTCCAGCGGCCCGGCCGTGGCCCTAGATAGCAGCATTGTACAGGTGTTATTAGCAAAAACCGACAACTCATCCAGGGGTAGCCGTGTGTATGTGTATGTGTTTCCCCTTTGGGATGACCGTGTGTCCAGTTCTACCTAGTCTATCATTTCCAGCCAGCCATTAGAGCCGATCCGATCTATCGTTTCGCTTCAGACACCATAAACAAACAAGTAGCGAAGAGAGTACATGGGCACAAAAGAAAGAAAGACGTGAATTATCCCAGCGTCGGGAAGAGGGATAAATGCATCATTAACGCCAAGAACGGTCGAAGCTTATTCTCGTGAAATGTCGCGACCAAAGACCTTGGACTTGAGCCAGTCGTTGACGACAAGCAGGCGGTTGCGAGCTGCACAAGGTTAGATACTGAACACAACCTTCTGGCCAAGGATATAAAACTTACTGCTAAAGCACATGGAAAGGTAGGCGCTGCGCCAGAAGAGGTAGGTCATGCTGCCACCGCTGGCAATGTTGCCGTTCCACCAGCTGACGTCAGCGACGGCCTTCTCGCTACCAATGTAGGCCATGCTGCCTTGGTGAGAGTAGTGGAAGGGCTTGATGTCCTTGATGCGACGGAGCTGGCGCTCGTGAGCCTCGATCTCCTTGGCAACATCGGCGGCGTTGCCGGGCTTCAGGTTGAGGTCCTTGCTGAGCTCCCGGACGCGAGCCTCGACAGTCTCGGTTCTGGCCATGTTGTTGAACAACCTAGCGAGGAAGCTACCCTCCTGAGCAGCGACCTGGGCAGTAGGGGCGTATCCAGCGACGGCGCAGTCGCCAATGGCCCATATGTCACGGGTGCCCTGGACAACGAGGTACTCGTTGACGGCCAGGCCGCGGCGAGAGTCTTTCTGGGCGGGGATTTTGGAAATGAGGTCGCGGACAATGGGGCGAACGGCATTGCCAGTGGCCCAGACGAGAAGGCCGTAGGGGATAGTGAGGGTCTGCTTCTTGCCATCGGGGCCAGTAGCTTCAGCTTGAACGTGGGTGTCGGTGACGTTCTTGACCATGGTCTTGGTCAAGATGTCAATTTTCTCCTCCTTGAAGGTCTTCTCGGTGTACTCAATGAGCTGCTTGGAGAAGGAGGGAAGAACGTTGGGGAGAGCCTCGATCAAGGTAACCTTGAAACGGTCGGCGATCTCGGGAACAAGACGCTTGATGTCCTCCTCGAAAAAGTCCTGGAGCTCACCAGCGAACTCGACACCGGTAGGGCCACCGCCGACGACAACCATGTGCATGAGACGGTTTACGTCCTCTGCGGACTGGTCCTTGAAGGCGGCGGTCTCGACGCAGTCCATGATCTTCTTGCGAATAGCCTGGGCGTCGCCAATCTCCTTCAAGAAGCAAGAGTTCTCGCGCACACCCGGGATGCCGAAGGTGGCGTTCTCAGCTCCGACACCGACGACCAGCATGTCGTAGGCGACCTCGGTCTCGGACATGGAGCCCTTAATTTCCGACGTATCCAGAATCTTGACGACCTTTCTATCGGGATCGACGGAGCTGGCCTCGGCTTCGTAGAACTTGACGGGGGCCTTCTTGTGACGGAGGATGGCGCGGATGGGCTCCATGATGGAGCGATGCTCGATGGTGCCGGTCGTGCACGAGGGGAGAAGGGGGGTGAAGAGGAAGTAGTTTCTAGGCGAGATGACGACAACATTGTAGTTTTCGGTGTCGAGCTTCTTCAACAGGGAGACGGATCCCCAGCCAGTGCCTATGGTTAGGTTAGCATGGTGCATGAGCTTCTCCTCGGCGGCGACGCAACGTACCGAGAATGACGAGCGTCTTCTTGCTAGGGTCGAGCTCGACCTGCTCCTCGGGATGTCTGTCCTCGTAGACGACGTATCCGATGTAGGCGAAGAGACCCAGGGCGGAGAGGTAGGTCAAACGCCAGACCCATCTGAAGGTCTTGCGAAGCTTTCCGGGCTTCTTGGGAGGGGCATCGGCGTATTCTCTGCGGAATTGGCGCGTAACGGTGCTGACTTGGGGAAGGGCGGCGACTCTCGGCCTCGCGGCGACGGTTCTGAGGGACTGTCTGGAGGAGGTAGTGAGGGTTCTACGACCGGCGTTGGCAGCGCGCGGAGCCCTCTGGAGGAGGTGAGCTGTGCGAAGGGAGTTCATGGCTCTGGAGGAGGAAGCCATTGCTTCAATTGATGATGGAGAGGGAGGGAGGTCCCCAGTGACCAACAACGTTGGGATAGTTGACGATGAAGAGGCAATGCGACAATTGCGGCAAGAGAGGATGATGGAAAGGAGGATCGGAGGAAGGAGGGAATTTCGGAGTCGATAAGGATGCGGCGGGCAGCCTGCTTTGGGGGTGCCCGATTGTGTTTGACGCAGCAAGATTTGCAGCTGACGGCTGGGACCCTCTCAGCCAGGCGGTAATTTTTTTATTATTGTTTCTATGTACACAAGTGCAGAAAATTTCAGGTGCTACGGGGGGTGAGGTCAGAGCTGGCGCGCTCCGCCAGTGGTATCGGTATCTGAGAAGCTTGGACGCCTACGGCGACACATGATTGGACATGGTTAGAAACCAAATGTAATTTAGTGACCGACGATGGACATCCGTAGACTACCTACCTACTCATAATTGCCTAGGTACCTGTACGGAGTACGTTCTGCCCTGCTGCTGCCGGTGCAGTCTTGGCTGCGCCTAGCTACCTTTCCCTTGGGCCCGCGTGCGATTGTCTTCACTAATAAGTTTATCAACGACTGGGATGTGGACTCTGCGGTGGGTCCATCGCGGTGTCTCTTCGAGAAAGAAAAAAAAAAAAGTCATCAGCCCCGGCCACGTCCGGCCGAATCCCGGCGTTTCTAGACATTGATTTTTCCTTCTTCTCTTTCTACGGGCCTCCGCACTTTCGGCTGATCCAGTACACTACCTACGCTTGGTTGATGTCGCGATAGCAAACCCAAGTCATGATGACTCAGGAACGCTTATCCCTACCTATCCGCGCTCTTTCTCTCGCGCATTCTGGCAGGTGTCAAGCACAGTCTGCCTCACTCACGTTATCCTACGGCCCTGGTCACACACGGTACTACACCCACCTCGTGCCTCACTTCTCGCCTAGGTAGACCCATTCCTCGAATCTTGCATAGGTTGCAGCATCCTCCCGCAAAACATTACTTGGGCACATGCTTTGTCGTAACCGACATTCGACACTGCCTTCTCCCGAGAATGCAAGCTCGTGAACTCTCATGCTCCCGCAACTTTCCCTTGTTACACCATAACCTATCAACTTACCTAGGTAGGTAGGGTAGGCATCTGGAGGTTTCTCCATGCTGTTCGGCAAAGCGCCCACCGAAAGCAGCCCCTCCGATGCCATTTTCCCGAACCTCTCCTAACTAGCCCAGTCATTCCTTAACGCCGATGGGAGAGCTGCGCATGACGCCACCAGGAGACATGTGGTCATTCTGCCCGAGATTGCCCCCCATACCCGACAACTTCCCGATGCCCCGAGGACACACTCCATCCGACCGATGCCGCGTCCCCGGCCAGTCCCGTCCCCCTTCGATTCCTGCCCCAGTTTCCGTGCCTTGTCTCAAGGACACAATTACCGTCTCCGGGATCTCTCTTGGTGGCTGTGCAGGCCGGCATATTCGCCCGCATCCATCTTTCCGAGACCGTCATCGAAAGTATCGGACTTGAGCGTTCTGCGGGGATGTCACATTCCCTCCAGGGACCATTTCATCTGTTACCAACATGTGGTGGTCGGTCCAGAGCACTTCGTGCAGACGAACCTACAAATCGGCCCAACTCTCCCCCTCTTTCGGTCTTGACACTATGACAGCTGCCGTTCCCCATCTCGTCACGCCAGAAACATGTGGGAGCTGGCTTACGTGGTCACCTCGGCTTAGTGACGCCTTTTTGGTTGCAGTCACCTCAGTTTGGCCTCCCTCTGCACACCCACCATCTCCCTCTCCGCCTTTCACTTGTCTGGTCATCCGGGCTCAAGATACTTGGCAAACCATGACGGCACACTGTAATGGTGTGTTTGTCAGAACCATTGTGACAGGAACTCACAATGACTGACAGCCAGTACCATCACCGCCTCCACGGCCGTCCCGTGGAGATGGGACTGGCCCTCTGGGCACATGCTCCAAAGTTACGACCCGAGCAAACGGTCTTGGGCATTTAGTTTGGTAGGGGCATTTGCAAATTGGGAAAAGTTTCCATGGCCAAGACTTCTCTCTATCTCTATCCCGAACCAGAGGCCCCAGAAGCAAGCGGAATTGTGCTGGTGTGTGTCGGCACTTTTTGCACCAGAAACGAAACGGGGTCTTGCACACATTCCGCCATCACCATCACCATCCCCGGTGCCGGGCCCGGACAGACCGAAACGCCGCAAGATTACCTACCTAGGTAACCAACGCCCTGGCAGGTGGAGAGAGCCGATGTGATGATGGTGGACACTTTGAAGCCGCTGGCAACGTGAAACAGGGTCGTGTCTGACTTGAGAGCTCACACAGGAGGAAGTGGGCCAAAGGCCCCCCCCCCCCGAGAAAGAAGACCTTTCGAGTCCAACAAGTCTCCAACAGACGGACACGTTAGCAGATGCCCCTGTGATATCCGGCACCTGTTCCGATTTCTGGTTTGTTTTGATACAGGTGGCGCGATGGTGCTGTGCTAAACCACCAGACTTGTCATGCAATACTCGTCAGGTCCATCACCCACCCACGGAACCCGCCCTGCGTCGCCCTGCGTCGTCCAGTAGCCCCTTGTCTAGTAACGGCACATAAACAGCGCATGACAGGGCGTCGGTGCGGGCGGCCAATAGGTCAAATTCCGGGAGATGAGATCGTTAGTCAGCTATCAAGAGCCGCTTTTCTACCGCCGACCAATGGGCTACCTAGCTCTTCAAATTGACGGCCACGGCCTCGGTGGAGCCTCAGAGTGGCGATTCGAAACAACCAATATTTTGGGCAAACCTCCAAAAGCCAAGAAAACGGTTGATACTGTACTACAGTATACCTGGTAGAGGCTTCCTTTAACTTCGCCTATCTTGCGCAAATTGAACGCGTAAGTGCGGCCCTCGGACGCACCCTTGCAGCGTAGGGTGACGTGCGCCTTGGTAGAAGATCGTAAGGAACTTGGCGGCCGTCGTTATAGCGAGCCAAGAAGCGGAAGATTTGTCAAACGATGCTGATCCCGGCATATCATCAGTCCTGAGCGGTAGGCCTTGGGGGCGCAGTCAGCGGCTAACCATGATCGGCTCTGTCCCTGGTGTAATCTATAATACAGGACCTCGAATCTATTGCGAGGCCCAATTCAAGAGTAAAGTTCTCCTCAGCGATCCCGCGGTAAATCAAAGCACGGTTACGGTTTGTCGGCAAGGTTGTCGATTTGGCCCGTCCAGGCTTTCTTAAAAAGGAAGTCCTGCCCACAGAGTGGACTTGTGATGCTGTGGAAAGCGGCTATTCTGTGGGCGAGTGTTGAGCGTAGCGTTCGGTCAGAACAAACAAGCAAGGGGAAAGAAGGGCTCAATGGGTCTTGAGATTTCCTCAAGCTTCGTCTGCCCGAGGGGCTCGCGTGTTCGTACGGAACTCTGGTTTCCAACACATCCGGTCGTGATGGCCAAGACCTCCGCGTTCTCGCGGTCAAGCTTTCTGCTGCCTTCTGAATAAGGAGGCACGAGCTTGGGGGGTTAGGGGGAAGGGTACCAATCAAGACGCTCAGAGGAGAGTGGCTCAGATCACCTGTACGGGGTTTCCAGATGCCAAGATGGGAGCTTAAATCCCACCCCTTGCTGTGGTCACTCCCTCGAGGCGCGTTCCAGGAAGCTTCAGAGAAAGGATGAGACGAGGAGCACACGGGGCGACGAGGGGACCTGGAGGCGACGCGGCTAGTACGGCACACAATGGTCGGTCGAAGGTTATGTGACAAAGGTTGGGTTTGAGGTAGGAGGGCCGTGCGGGAGATTTGCAGCAAGGCTTAGTTAGTGTATAGCATGCATGAGCTTACATGGTCGAGCAAAATGCAGAGGCGGGAGAGAGAGAGAGAGAAAACAGGAGAGTTGCGAGTTGCATCATGGCCAGATTGGGTTGTGGCCCAGCCCGTCTGGGTCCCGATCAGGGTCAACACCATGAGGCAGAAGAAGATGAGGCGAGAGAGAGAGACGAGAGCATGGCTGGCTTTGGAGCGGCGAGACGAGGACTGCGGAGCAATGGATGACTGGCTGGCTGGCTGGCTGGCTGAACGCGGGTTTCCCCCACTTTTTCCCCCCAACCACTTGAGCAAGACGGTTCTGCTTTTTCATCTCACGATGGGCGGGTTGTAGAATGCGGCCAATATGCTTGTTTGATTGCTCTCCTCTCTCTTCACTCCTTGGCGAGGCGCGTTTACATTTTTCGTATGGCAAATAGGGGACACTGACTGGATTAGACCTAGTCAGCTGGGCGTTTGGCGCCCAGCCATATGCGTTTCTGTGGCCCAGATCTATAGTAGTGGATGACGAAATTGAGCAGGCGGGACCCAACCTGGTCAGGGCTCCTTCACCGTTGCGCCTACCAATAAATGAAGCAAACCAGGATCAAGACGGAAAGAGCCTCAACCGTGATCCTTGCCTTGGCAAAGCTGTGCGAGGTGCACACGGCTTTCGGGGCCCCGACACTGACCTGAGTGGCCTCTCTATCCCTCGACTTTTGCTCTTCTATTTCCTTATTCTTTATTTTGATTTATTGATTTTACCCCCCCTTCTTCTTGGTTCCTTTCGGTCCAGATAGGCTCCCCATACAGGTTGCCCAGAATGCCATTGGTAGAAATATTTTGAGGGCGAGGCTGGGCTTTCTGCTGGCTCGGCACAAGGTCAGTCCGGCCAGAGACGAGCTGCTCAGATTAACTCTCGGGAGGGCGAAGTGTATGGAGAGTCAAATGGATGGTGATGTACAATGCATATCATCTGGGCCGAGCCTGCCTCGGGTGACGGCAGTACGGGCTTGTCGAAAACCAAACCAAACCGGCACCAGACACGTCAGAAGACGGGCGTGGCTTTTCGGTTCGGGTATCCCGCGCTCCTAGAGCCCGTCATTGGTTGACAGGCGCAGACCATCGGAACTTTGGGCGTGTGACCATCTGTGCGTGCGTGCGTGCGCCGCCGGCCTGCCACCAACGGGCCCGCTGCGTACGGACTGCGCAGGTAGGCAGGCAGGCATACGACTGACTACACTACCACTGAGCCTCAAAGTCCATTTTGCTTCCCAAAATGCCCAGAACAGGGCGGCTTGTGTCAACAAACGGGGCGAGGTGGGAGGTGAGAGTGAGAGAGGTAAGGGAGGAAAGAGAGGTGAGAGGCTAGACCACACACGCACCTATTGCCTGGCTCGCGACCGACCCTCCCCTGTCCTGAAACCCGCTCTTTCATATGCTGAGACGCATGGCCCCCTGCAAGTCTCGTCGCAGAAGGGTTCAGCGTACACCAAACGGACCCAGAAAAATCCCCTTGGAATGACAGGCCACACCATCGGCCGTATATTTTCTCACCAACACCTGTAGACCTCTCACCCATTCACTCATCTGTTCACACATGTCCCCTGAAATATTGTTGTTGCACGCCCGACGAACTGGCCATGGAGGACCGTCGTCGACTCGACTCGGCTCGACTCGACTCGACTCAACCTCCCTCCCCCCACCCCGGCTTCGATCTTGACCACTACTACGTATATGCAACAGGGGAAGGTATCCTTGGTGGCCCCTTGATGTCCTTCCGCACGTGTACACTAATTACGGCGTAGTGTGCAGTACGACCACCTCGTTCGCTTTTTGTTCGCCGACGGCCAGTTCCTCCCCCCCCACCCACCGCTGTGAGAGTAAAACGACCCCCACCTCGTAGTCAGCCTCTCGTCTTCCTTCTCTTTCTTCCTGGGGTGCGCCCGTGTCTCGCTCTTTTCTGACCCTAAATCTCCTACTGCCGAAGCTTCGCCGGTCGGTCGGCCCAGGAAACTATTGACCCTGTTGTGGGTGTCAGCTTGAATCTTCGAACCTACTGGTTTGAATTGATGGAGGACCCCCCCCCCCCCCATTCCAGACACCTTCCGCCATCCATGTTGCCTGCTCGTGGCGCCTAGGGTCCTTGTCTCTTTAGACGCCAGGGGAAAGTATAACCACTGTACCTATCGTGCCTACATACCTACCTCGGTAGTCGGTAGGCAAGAGAGGGAGCGAAAAACCTAACGCTGGGACACGAGAGAGGAATGGTCCTTTTCCAAGTCGCCGCTGCCCTTGCCCTGTCCGTTGCCCGAGCCTATTGGCCCAACTCTCCGTCTCGTCTGCTGGCGCTCTTGTTTGGGGAAGACTCGGTGATGTGTATACTCTGGTCAGCCGTTCTGCTTGCCAAGATGCCGTGCCATGTACTTGTAGACTCGACACTCAGGCTACAACTGCGCCTGTGCAGTCGTATTCGGCCTACAGACCCGGTCAAGTCAGTCCAAGCGAACGCCTGAGCCTCACGTTCGGATATCCAACAAAGGCTCGACACGAGTACCAGGTGTACGATGACCAGTCTGCATCTCATAGCTCGACTACTCCGTACAGCGCCGGCGGCGGCAGCAGCAGCAGCAGCAGCATGACAGAGAGGGAAGCAGGCTACCCAGGATGGGATGCGGGTCGATTCACGGACCACCCACTAGGGGCGCCGCACCCATCGGCTTTCGCGTGCCAGTTCCTGCACCAGTCCTAGTCAGTGCTGGTGCCCGCATGGGGTGCCTGGATCTATCCCTGAAGGCTCTCGGGGGCACCATCTATCATGCAGCATGGGTCTCCCCGCGAATGGGGGATGGATGATCGGCCCAATCTGATACATACTGTCGCCTCTCGCTCTATTGCTTCTCTCCTTCCCTCCCTTCTCCCTCTTCTCCCTCCGCTCGCCAACTCTCGCCTATTGCTTGGTCTTCACCACTTTTTCCATTCTTCCATTCCAAGGCCGGCCTTTTCCTTTTCAATTCTAACCACTAGACTCTTTTGGCTGGCACCGACGTCTATTTCGTTGTTACTCTCGAAATCTGTATTTCTACCACATACACACACACACACACACACATTCTATTTCTCCATTCACCTCGCATCGTCTGGCAATCGACCCGTCGCCTTGTTGAACCGACCCGAGCCGTCTCATTCACCCATTTCCACCAACTCGATCCCCCCATCCACTCAAACTTGCTTTCCGACATCGTCAAGCTAAGGGCCATGGTTTGGACTGATTGACAAAGACTACATCTTGGCGACTATCATCGGTCCGGCACAGGATAGGATAGGATGATCGAGAAAAGGGGCATGGCTCCCCACGCAGTACCACCGGGCCGGAGGGCCCTCAAGAGACGTGCTCGCCCTGCTAATATTGCCTTGCCGCCTTCGCTTTGGGAACGAGACGCCGAGTCTGACGACGAGTATGCCACCCAAGTAAGGACCGCTGCTGGAGGCGTGTGGAAAAGGACTGCCAAGTCGGGCATCAGGCCCTCGAATGACACACTGGAGCGCCGGTCGGACAGCGACAGCGACGACCGGGGACGGGGAAACCGAGACAGCGAACCTTCGAGCCCTGATACCCCCCAGGCAAGGCCTTCGTATAACCTCCCGCCTTCGTATAACCTCCCGGCCATAGGAAGAATTCCCGTGGCATCGCTTCGACCAGCCCTTCCCGCAGTCTCAAACCTACCTTCGACAACGTTGCCGGCATTTGCACCCGCTATTACTTCTCAACCCCCGGTCCTCGAACCTCCCATGTTCTTCCAGCCTGTACTGCCGCAGCCGCAACCTACATCGCGTGTGATGACACCGTACCGTCCCCTCCAGCCCGTGGATCCTCAGCCAGCACCAGTGCTCGCTCCGGCCGATCCTGACTCAACACCACGCGAATCCGAACCCTCTGCTATACCACCAGCGACGATGACAGTGACATCCCCCCCTCGAACAATTACAGTCATCTCCACGATGAAGCTTGCTTCCTCGGTAAGTTACTCACAAAGCTCCAGCCTATCGGCATAACTAATCTCAGGCTTCACCGAAGAGTTCGACCTCATCATGGCCAACATGGTCACCCTCTCCGCCGGTGGTCGCCCCGTCATCGACGTTGCCTATGCCAGCAGCTTCGTCGACAGGCCCAGCTGCTTTACCACCTCTGCCATCTGTTGATCCTTCGGCGCCGAGGAAGGGCGTCGATGGTCACACACACACGACACCTACAGTAACGGCTACCTTGGCTTCGGCTGCACTACCTGCCGAAACCATTCCTGCTCTCCCCGGCCCGGCGAGCGCCGTCAGTGATCGGGGTAGGGACGATGTAAGGCCAGCGCGAATGAACCCAGAGACGGAGCACGCCCTTATTGCTGTGGGCTCAATAGGTCAGTCTCGACGAACAGAACGCGTCATCTCATTAGCTGACTTTGTAGTAGGATCTTTCATCTTCGCCTCATTCCTGGTGTGGATTGTATGGAGGACAATGAAGAAGGCTTCGAGGAGGAGAAGGGAAAGGGAGCTTGGCTACCCGAACGATGGCCCTGGTTTTGGCTCCAAGATCCCTTTCTTCAAGGGATCCATGGGCGGATGGCAGAACCTAGACGGTCGTCAAAGCGACCCGACCCAGTACGAAAAGGGGCCGAGAGGCACGCTGCGGCTGGATACCGGCTTCTACGGCCCCAATGGGAAACCGACCAATTATGGCCCTGGCGGTACATATGTTCCCAACTATATGTCGCCAGTCGACAGCCGCGGCAGCCCTATCCACGGCAGCCCGACGGGCGTATTACCGGTGCGAATGAACACCGTGAACGGCGGTACATACAACGGTCAGCAAGGCGTTTTCAACAGTCAAACAGGTACCTACACGAGCCAAGTAGGGACGTTCAGCAGCCAGACTGGTACCTATGTCAGTCATGCACCCAGCGGCTCACTCACTCATATCATTGGACAATACGGAAACGGAACGGACCCTAGCATGACATTACGGTCAGGCGTGGGAGCCGGTGCATACTTCAATCAGTCAGAGTTGGCTCGCCAACCATCAGACGCTTACGACCCAGCCAGGCGGCAAGTTAACAGGGCGAGCGAACTCTCCTCCATTTCATCCGGCTTCGGCGACGGTGACATCATCGTGCCAGGCATGCCTGGAATGGTGCTGCAGCCCCCTCCGCCTGTTTCACAGTCACTGAGAGCTAGCCGAATGAGTAATGATCGGGTCTCCTGGGCCAACAAGTCCAACCGTGAGACGGTCTACACAGAGGCCAGTGAGGACCTGCCACCCAGATTCAGGACCGTTGACAGCTGGGTCAACCAGCAAACCGGTCGCGTCAAGAGGGCACAAGCACGGCCACAGACGGACGAAGACATCCCGCCTGTGCCTGGTCTTCCGGCAGGGACGGGCCAGAACGGGATGCCGCCTGAACCCCAATTCACCATGATGATGCCGGACGGGGAAGTACCTCGCCGGCCGGACAACGCGTCGTAACAGTTGGACGCAAACCGGCGGACGCCGTGGCTTTTCTTTGTTTTCATACCCAAGCATGTTGCTGCGTTGGCAGGAGTAAAAAAGCGGGGACAGAAGGAAAGGGGATGTAATACCATCATAACACATGCACATGCACATACAAATGAGTAGCCAAGAGGTGATCAAACTAGGAGCCTTTTACCACTGTATCCATATAACTCCCAGTATCTTACCGCTTCTTCAAGCCTGGCGCTTGGGGGCTTTCTTGCGGAGTCAGACTTCACACATGGCACGTGGCTGTTCTGGCCTGCTTTTTTGTACAGGTAGCTTTTCCTCCTTGAGAAGGCAAGGTATAACAGGGCAGAAGGAGAGGTGATCAAGGAAGTGGTAGTAGTAATTCAAAAGTAGTAGGAATGCAGACCTACTTGACAATACTCGTTGGATATCATTGCCAGACATCCTCCCTACTTGCTTGAGATGCGAACAAAGAGCGTCCCCCCCTTATCCTATGAGGTTGATGGTGTTGACGATGCGACTAGCGGATTTAGAGATCGACAGGTAGCCACCCATGTTTGCTAATTTGTCAAGCAATTCTTAGGGCGCAATCGAGCATCCTACTACTACTTTGACAAGCCAAGGAACAGGTGGCATGACAGTTATGAAGGCCATGCTTTGAATTTCTTTTTTCTTCGGCAACGCATTGCCTGTATCCGGGGCTATCTTGGGCAGCGTACCGCCTCTCGGGAGCGTTCATCGCAATCTTCTTGTCCTCCCGACAGTCCAGTCCAGCCGCGGGATAAAATGTTGATGTTCGGTCCTGTTCGTGGTGGAGGGCCGCGGCTGCTTCCCAACCCTGTCGATTGTCGCAGTCTCCAGCCACCCTACATGTACGTAATCACACTGGGAATGCTAGTCGGTGCTACCGCGGAGACTTATGTTCAAGCTTCATCCCCCTGCGAAAGATCTAGTTATTTGCTACAGGCTAGGTAGTTGGCGTATAGCAGGCGCTGCTGGCATATTCTGTGGGACGCCAAGGCAGACTTACACACTTCCTGACTCCGGGTTCCAGCGAACAGGAAGTCGGCTGACGCAGCGTCCCGGTCTCCGATGCGCTTTGGAAGCATATTTGGGAGACGCGGGCAACAAGAGAAGGAAAATAAAACAAAAAGCCCTAAAAACGCCCTCATGAGTCCTACCTAATACGCGAGCCTTTTTCTTCTCTTTTTCACCCCTTTCTCCCTTCTCCGACTTTAGTTGACAGGTAACCCCCTCCGTCGCGCGTTTCGGAAGACACAAGGCAGCATTGGGTTCTAAAACGTTCATAGAGACCCTCGGACGCCATTTTGCAGAGGGGACGACTCTGGAGTTGCACAGCCGCAAGCGACGTCCCCGTCCCGGCAAAAGGGCGAATCAACGAGGCTGTGGGGGCAAGCGACCGGCTGTTCTGTGGCGGAGCGCGGACGAAGTGTGGGGGGAAGGGATTGGGCCGTGACCCGTGGCTCGCACGGGTGGCCCAATCCGAGCGGTAGGCGGGGCACAGCGTTGACGTACATGCCTACCTTCCTAGGTAGTAGTGTACTTGCTGTACGAATACGTACTTTCGTCTGCAGTGCATATGCCGTGCACGCCACAGCAAGTGGGGGAGCCAGGTTTGGACTCACTTCCTGCAAGTTTGCTGCTGCCTTTTCTCTCTCTACTTTCCTTACTTCCTTGCTGCGTACCTACCTCTTGGCCTTTGTCGACAGCAGGTCGTTCTTGTCTTGTGCGAATACTTGGCTTTGCGTTCTTGTTACTCTACTTTGCTGGCTGCAGTCGCTTTTCTCGGCTCCCTTCTTCCTTAAATACACGACAGAACCCTGGTCTTGAGACCCCTTCCTGTTGTGTGGAGACGATTCTCTGTAGATCCCTTGGATATATTTGGCAGCACATACGTACGTCGGCAACGAGTGACCTTCACTGTTTCCTTGTCTTTCTTTAGCCAAGCCGGACGGGCAACAGACGGCTTATGAACTCAGTCCACTTGACCTCGCATACCATCCCTCAAGAAGGGCCCGGCCGCCTGCTTTCGCACAGTCTAGCATCCTTTTAAACCACTTATCTCGAAACACCCACCCCCCCCCCCCCCCCCCCCCCCCCAAAAAAAAAGAACAACCGATCGAACCGTCCTTCCTCGCCCTTCAACCTCAGCAGCGTGCACCCATTTCTCGAGTCGTCGGCTTGGCCCCAGGAAAACCGCCCACGATGCTCGACGAAAACCTCCCAACCTTTCACTTCCGTCCCTCCTCTGACAACCCCCAAAACACCATTCTCTACTTCACCCACCAGGGCTCCGACCCGACGCCCAACTACCTCCTCAAGCGCGCCGACCCCGCCAACCCGGCCGCCCGCAATAGATACGCTGCCGCCCTCACCGACATTGTTTCCCAGCACATCATCTACGCCGAGGTCCTCGTCGAGCCGGAATGGACCCAGCCAACCCTCTCCGCCGCAGAGGTTCGTGCTCAGAACGGCACGCCTGCCCCGCCACAACCCATTCTGCCTGACCAGGTCACCTTGCAGCTCTACAACCCGGACTCGCAGGTCGTCATCAAGACAAAGGCCGGCGGCTGGGGCAAGACAGACAGCTGGGAGTTTGAAATGCCCGAGCAGAGTTTCCGCGCCCCGAGCGCCAGCTTGATCGACCGGTCCGCCGACGATCCGCCCATCAGCGACACCGTCCCCAAGGTCGTCTTCCGTTGGAAGCGCGACGGTAGGCTGAGCAAGGACATGACATGCTACATGGTGGGGAAGAGCGTCGCCGGGAAGAAGAGCAAAGAGCCTGACATTACGGTCGCCATGTTCAAGGACCGGAAGCATGAGAGCGCTGTCACCATCTACGAGCCTAACCTGCAGCGTGTCGACGTGGAAGACCGCAAGGGATTGGATATCATTTTGCTGCTCGGTGCCGAGGTCCTCCGCGACCTGTTCCTGAACCCCAGGCAAAACGTCTTCAACCTCACATCGACTCTTCCACCGACTCGTCGAAAGAACTCCAAGCCCCCCTCCACTTCCGTTGGGCCAGCGCCACCCCTTGCCTCCATGTCCGGCGCCATCGGCGACAAGCCCGCGTCACCACCGGCACAGGTAATGAACAGCGGCCCGCCTAGACCCGACCCCCGCGCGCAGTGGGAGATTGACAACGAGACGAAGCGCCTGCAGGCCATGGTTGTCCAGGAGGAGCGGCAGGCCCGAGAGCGTGAGCGTCGCGACGCCGAGGAGGCGAAGCGCATTCAGAAGATGCTTGAGAAGGAGGAGAAGGAACGTCGGCGGAAGGCGGCCGAGGTTGAGGCGGAGACGGAGCGTCTCCGCAGGTTATACGGCGTGCAGCCCAACGCGCCTGCGCCCATTTTGCCTCCCCGACACCAACCGCCGCCCGGGACTGCTCCGGGATCGTGGTACGTCGCACCGGCGCAGCCGCCAAGGCCTCTGAGTGCGGGACCCTACCAAAACGGTCAACCCGGGAACAGCACATATCGTCCGCCACAGCAGGTGCAATTTGCGCCGCAACCGAAGCCTCCACAGCAACAACAGAGCGGTGGCGGCCGTGGTAAGCTTCCAAACCTGATGTCGGGGTTGCTCCAAGGCCCCTATGCGAACTCGGCTGCTAGCGTCATTAACTTCTTCCATCGGGACCGGACCGAGGAGGAGAAGAGAAAGGTCGCCAAGAAGCGCAGTGTGCATTTCTAGGGATACCGTCATTGCTGCTTTTTTTATCATTCCTGTAACATTGTATCTCATTAGCATACCCGGCGTTTAAACCGGACCCGAGGTCATCGTTGCGCTGCCGAGGATGTGGTTGATCCCGGTGGACCTCTGGCGTGTTTTCTTTGGACGGATATACCAATTCCTGGCATCTGGGCTCATAGAGTTACGAATCTCATGACTTTTCTCGACTACTCGATTGTTCCGAGGGATCCATTGAGTGCCCCTACTGAAAGGCCTTCCCTGATAGGAAAAAAGGCCCGTGACGCACCTCCGACCTCTCGACGACGTTGCAGAGTATTCAGTATCGCGCATTGGAGACTAACGGAATGACAAGGGACAAGTTGGGAGTATATCCGATTCGGGCAATAGTCGAAATGCACGCTAGCCGGGGGTGTGGAGGAGGAGGAGGAGGCCCGGAATTTACATTTCACAAGCTCTGGGCTGCCTTGTCGTACCAGAATGGGCCACAACGGCGGATCCACGCCTATTAACTGCACGCCTGGTTGAACTCCCATCCAGATTCCGCCGATTGTTATTCCAGCTCTCTCCTCTCAATAGGCCTTTTCTGAGCAGGTATTGGCTTGGGAGGGGACACGATGGGGTCTTGACTCAAAACCGGCTGGGCGCTAGCCACAGGTTTGTTTTCCTGTGCCACCCGCGAAACATATCCCGCCGGTTAGACTTGGTGAAGGCGCCAAGTTGGCATACATGAAAAGCTGGAGAAACACGGGGAGACCGCGAAGGCGAGCCGCCATGCTATATGGAGACATGCACACATGCCTATGTCCATAGTCGAGCCCCCGGCTACTCATGGCTTATAAGTCTTAGGTGTCAACCCTGCAACGAGAGTCTCTCATAAAACCCATGACTTGCTCGTGCGGTTCCCAAAAGTTGAACTCGGGGCACCTCTCAACGCGCAAGACTATCATTCGGAAAGACTCGACCGGGCTTGTGCTTCTGTCTTGCTTTTATGACGACATGCGTCTTACGAGAAACCTCGACTGAGCTTCTGCGACGTCACCGAGACATGCTCCAGCAGCACAAGCCTCGAACCGACGTAAGTCTCAGCATGGCGACCGGGTCATCAACCTCAGCAGTCCAGCTCGATAAACTAGAGCGGCCGCCGACGCCAAAGGAGGGAAGGCTCCTCAACACCGAAGGCCACCGCCTCGGGTCCAACGCGGACACCATCGGCGGGCTCCCGGCCCCAACGACGACGGCCGCCGTCATCCAGAAGTGGAACCGCCCGAGGTCCAGCGCGCTCAGGGTGCTCTCGTGCTTTTGGAGCCTGCTTGATTCGGGGGCCAACGACGCCGCCTACGGTGTAAGCCCCCTTCAACCTCGCCCCACTGCAAACCGTACATGACGGCTGACACGAAACCAGGCTTTGATCCCCTATGTACGTCGTCAGGGCGCCTCAAGACCTTCTCGTGAAAACGTCCGCTCACCAGTCCATAGCTCGAGAAATACTACAACCTCACCTACGTCGTCATCTCACTCGTCTTCCCCATTCGTCGGTTACGTCCTCTCGGCCCTGCTCAACAGCCACATCCACCTGCGCTAGGGCCAGCGCGGCATCGCCATCCTCGCCTCGGCATGCCACGTCGTCGCCTACGTCATCATCGCCCAGCACCCGCCCTACCCGGCGCTCGTCGTTGTCTTCATACTCGCGGGCGTGGGCAATGGCCTGAGCGACGCGGGGTGGAACGCCTACATCGGCAACATGGAGCGCGCCGACGAGGTCCTCGACTTCCTGCACGCCTGCTACGGCGTCGGCGGCGTCGTCAGCCCGCTCACCGCCACGACCATGACCAGTAAGGGGAATCTGGGGTGGTGGATGTTCTACTACGTCATAGTGAGTTCAGATACGGCGCGAGACGGAGGCACACTGCGGGTGTTTTCGCTTCCCCCTCCAAAATTTGTAGATTCATAGCTCAGCTGACATGCGTCGTGAGGAAAGATCAACTTGACCGTCATCGAGCTCGCCTGGTGCACGGCGGCCTTCTGGACGCAGACCGGGGCCGTCTACCGCGAGACGGTCAGCCACTCGGACAACGACGGCAACGCTGGCCTGCGGACGGCCCTCTTCAAGCGGCCTTATGCCCGCGTCTCATGGCTCAGCGCCCTGTTCCTGCTCGCCTACGTAGGTACAGAGGTATCGCTGGGCGGCTGGATTGTCCAGTTCATGATCCAGGTCCACCGGGCCGAAGCCTTCGACTCGGGCATGACCTCGGTCGGCTTCTGGCTGGGCCTCACGCTCGGCTGCGTGGCGCTGGGATTCGCGACACCCAGGCTGGGCGTCAAGCTCGCCGTGTCCGTCTACATCCCCGCCGCCATGGCGCTCGAGCTCGTCTTCTGGCTCGTGCCACAGTTCCATGTCTCGGCGGTGGCCGTCGCGCTGCAGGGCTTCTTCCTGGGGCCGCTCTTCCCCGCCGTCGTCGTGGCGACGACGAGGCTACTGCCGAGACATCTGCACGTCAGCGCCATCGGGTTCGCGGCCGCGTTCGGGGGCGGCGGGGCAGCGATCCTGCCCTTCGCGGTGGGCGCCCTGGCGCAGGTCAGGGGCGTGCAGGTCTTGCAGCCCATCATCCTCGCGTTCTTAGGGGTTATGCTGGCGTTGTGGCTCGGCTTGCCTAAGATCGGACACAAGGAGGAGTAAGACGAGGATGTAGGAAAGAAAGAGGGAGTGGGGTTTAGGAAGCTGGAACGGTCATGGGCGGAGAAAGCTTCGGTTTGCGTAGAATGGGGAGGACTTGTGCGTAAAATATGTCAAAACTTGCGCTTGCAAGTCGACATCCGGGGCCGGTCGTTGCAAGGGGACATCAAAAGATAATTTCACCCCAGTTTCGGCAGGATATCTGCCATAGTTTCCTCTTATCCTGTAGTCAAATATCCAATAATCCAGCAGGTTCTGCCACTTCCTGACGGTTTTGATACGCCCACTGAGCGGCCCCTACACTTCTGTACGAATCTTCACTCGACACCAACTAAGAATGCAAAATGACTTGCACCTCTTGAGCGTTAGTGGTGACAATAAGCCACAAAGTAACACTTGTTCAACAGTAGCTTCCGTGTGGTCTCTTTGCTCAAGACACTCAGGGCCTTGGAGGTGCAGGAGTAGAGGCTCCTGGAATGTAGAGGTGATTGCGTCATGTAGAATCCTAAGAACAAGCCATGTGTAAGAACAGTTCCCCAGGGTCCAAGTCACAGGAAGTTGGATCATGTAGTAGCTATAGACGCATAATCTATAAGTTTCTTGGCTAAATAAAGACAAGAGAGCAGGGCTTGAACCACAAGGATGAGAGAAAAATAAGTGTGCAGGGTCTTTGCAAGAACGACGATAGGGAGTTGGTACCTGATCCCTCCCCTTTTTTATCTCCTTACTGGCCTGTACTGTTAAAATCGCACCAATTAAACATACGCTTGGAGGGAGATGAGCTGGTTTTTGGTATTGAATAGTATTGCACAACCTGCATTCATCGAATCCTCAAGATGAGGGCTTGTGTAATAAACAGTTTACAAGTCAGGAACGGAAGACAAGGGTCTGCCAAAAGAAGCTATGGATGGTCTGTGCATGCAATCACCGCATAGCATCAACGTCATCTTCGGAGAAACAATTATCCGCACCACAGCGCTCGGACCAGTTCCAGTTACGCTACCTACCAAAAATTCTCATGATGGGTCCCTCAACTGGCATGTCTGGCCCAGCTATTGCTGAACATCCCCTAGCCTATTTTCAAGCTCAACTCCATCCCAACGACTCCTCCCTCTTCGACGATCAAGACTATTTCCTCGAAAACGACTTCGTCTGTGAGATCCATCGTCGGCTTTCCATCTTTGGTTGGAAAAAGTCATTCCGCTTCGGCCTGCGTCAGCAAGCGATCCTCGAACGACTCCAGGAGCTAGGGTTTTTCCTCGCCTTTCCTTTAGACTTCAACCTTCGCCTTCGTACGCCCCCGGGCTACATCCGCTACCGTCTTATCGAAATCTTCGCCAACGCGAGGCGTACAGCCGAACAGAAACTCAGAAACGAGCGCCGCTCGCTAATCCCAATCATAATGGTTCAACTCACCGAGGTCGAGGACGAGCACTTTCAGTCCGGCCAGAATGGCCCCATCGAGGATGATGCCGACTACACCGACACCGGTCAGTGGAATCCCACGAGATTATGAGACTCGAGCGCGAAACTCCGATTTTTTTCGTGTCACGAAGCTTGAGTAACTTGCATACGTCACACGGCCAGCTAGCTGACAACCCACAGACTCCGAGATCTCTGCCGACAGCGACTACGACCCCCGTGACGAGTCCTTCGCTGAGCGCCTCTACGCTTTGAAGGATATTGTCCCTCCGACCACCCGCGGCTGGATCAGCAACAAGGTCGATCTCGGCGTCAGCGCCGTCCAGAACACGTGGTACTACGGCTCCCGCACCGTCTGGGTCGTCTGCGCCACTGCCCTGATGATCGGCGTCCCCCTGGCCACCTGCTGGGCCGAGGACCAGCAGATCGAGGGTATGGAGCGCGAATATCGCATGCGCGAGATGGGCGGCGACGCGCTCCTCGCCGCCGGCGAGAGCAAGGACGGCAGCACCGCCGACCAGATTGGCATCGCCCTCGACCGCGCTGAGGCCAAGCCCGCTCTGTAAACTACTAAACTATCAAACGCAACAAAAACAAACTACCACAATGCAAATCGAAGCTAGGAAGGACGAAGCTTGGCTTTTCGAAACTCCCCCGGAACCGCGCACCAATGGCCTGACGACTCTCCCATACACCCCCTTACTGGGAACCGGACAGACTTTTGCGTCACTTTATTTTTTTTGCGCTTCGGACCTGTATATCAAGACAACTCTCTCACACTCTACAACACGCCCACGGCAATCGGAACGTTGCATGCATTGTGCTCATGGATGGTTGGCAGGATGGGGTTTCCCTGCCATATTGCTTGTACTATAGGAATTCATGAGGCCGCGATAGGAATGGCCGCTTGCAATCATGATGAAATTATAATACCCATCCCGTTTCCAGCGGCACTCGCCGTGACCGCGCGCTGTTTGCTCTTTGTGCTTTTTCGTTACTGATACCACCTCCCAAGGCGGACGAGGGCATCGAAACCTAGTAGCAATATGTCGAGTAATCCCTCTACCGTATTTGTTTTCCGTTTAGCGGGGGAAGTTGTGAGTGCCCCACCATTAGCAGAGCAGACTTGGGAGCTGAAGACACGGCGGACGCGAGCTTTCGACATCTCCAATGAGCCAGAGACGGCTTGTACTTATGCAGAACCAGGAGCGCAGTATGCTGCGCCAGGGTCGAGATGCCGGCCGCTAGGGTAAAGTGGAGACATTTGTACGTATCGGACAACTTTGGTGAGTTTCTCATCGTCACCGACCAAACTGGTATAAGCCGGTCAAACACAAGACTCAATCACATACGACTATACCCACTGGAGAACTCGGGATCCCGTCTGCTCTCCCATAGATAAGCCAGTGAGGGCTGGATTAGTAATTAGGTTAGTAATAACTAGTAAATGCCTAGTGTTATATGCTTTCGTCCTACTTTTAAGGAAGTGTGTAATATATTTATTGTAATATAAACTATTTCACTAATTGAAACGATTATATAACTATACCTACTAGAGAACTTAGGATCCTGTCTACTCTCCTATATATAAGCTGGTGAGGGATTCCAAGAACTAGAAAATGAGGTTCCTACCACCTCTTCTCTTCTGTTCCTCTCTTTCTGTCAACCTCTGAATTACATGTTTTAACTATGATCTAACAAGACTGTGGACGCTGAAGGGGAAAGGGGAGTGGCAACCCTTCAGCGAAACTCCCGGAGCGACTGCGGCGGTCTAGAATAACCCTAGAATTCGTGGCCGTTTAACTAGATGCATTTGTCATCCAAGTCGCCACATTTAGGTAGGGAAATCCATCTAATTAATATCAGTAACATTACTGCCCTACATTTGACCTATGTGCTCTAATTACTACACTTATATCAAAGATATTTTTGATTTTTATAACGGGGGTTTGCATATTACCAGGGGGCTCTGCCCCCCTGGACCTCCCCCCTCCGGGGGCCCTCCGGGGGCCGCTGCGCGGGGCCTTTTGCCTATGGCGCCTACGGCGCCCTCTCTTGCCTCTAACTTTGCAATATCTTGCGATGTTTAGCAACAGCAGTCTACTGACGTATATTAGTGTGCATTAGCGCAGAAACTAATCTAACTAATCCGCGAGGGTTATTTTGAATCTGACTAATCAGCGAAGGGCGCCCATACAGCGAAAAACGTCCGAGCTTTGGCGATTTTCCCACTTAACTCCAGACCGCCTGCTACTTCCGTTACGGCTTCGCCTCCACTTCAGTAGCAGTCGCTCCGGATTAGTCTTTGATATCTTTTATGGAGCGGGAGGGCAGCTGCCTTTTATATACACCTGACAGATGAGACAAGCTGAGTACTACCATATCTGCTGCGTCGATTGTGGCGAGCCAGGTCCCAAAACAAGTATATTTTTGCTGGGCACCCTCTAGAAGTTACTATTCTTGGATGATCCATAAACACACACATTATAGCCTGTCGAACTCCTTGTGTCCTGCCCGGTAAGAGTAGCAAAAGTGTGTGTGTCCATGCAAACGCACCTTCATGCAGGCCAGGCGCTTACAGTTCCCTGACGCTCCTCCTTGTACGCCTTAGCTGATGATCAGACGACCGGTCTCCGCTTGAAGCCATGGTTACATGTCACTTGCTGTATTTGTTGGCGCTTGCGGCTTCTCCATGCCCCTATTGGTGAGACCAGCAAGACCAGCACCGTCCTTATCAATAGGTCTTTCGCAGGACCAATAACGGCCACATTTTAATCTTCTTCATGGCCCATGCCAAACGTGCGACGTAAATACGACCAGCACGAATCCCGTGTCTTAGCCAGTGGCCACGCAACCCTACGCCTCGTCTGGCGGTCCCACACGAACTTCATCGGCCATTCGCCACAGTAGACCCATTCTAGTGTCGGAATCACCTCGGCGTACTTCTCGGCTTGCTTGAACATTCTGTAGCGGTGTGCGTACTCCCAAATTTCGCCTGCCTCATCCACGGTTTCGCTGTCAGAATCCTCAATCGGCACGAGCTCATTTATCCAGTTTCGCTTCTTGGCAAGCTCGCGGTCCTCCGGATCGGCGAATTTGCTCTCGTAGTAGTACTCCGGCTCTGCCAGGTCGAATGGAACCGGGTACGTATCCCGGGATATGGCGAGTCTTTTCAATCGCGTGAGGCCTTTGAGAGACTCTCGAACAGCATCGTGGTCAACCAGCCATTGGCGACGCCAGCCAAAAGTTTGTCCTGCAGTCAAACTGAGCTGCTCGAGGCTATCCAAGGACCCAATTGCGGCTAGCGCAGATTCGGACACCCGGGCAATGTGCGGCCGAGTTGATTCCTCCGTGCCTGGCCCCCGCCATGTCAACGCTAGTGAGTTCAAATTGATCCAATTACCATTGGACAAGCAGGGCAGGAGGCGATCGTCAATGAAGGCGTCTGTGCCTTCGTTCAGACACAATTTCTTGATGTGCGGGTGGCGATTGAGGAACTTCATCAACGGGCTAACAGTAGAGGGCTTCCCCGGGATTTCCACTAGGAATGGAATAACTAAGGTTTCGAGGTTCCGAAGTGTCTCGCAAGACAAGAAGGACTCATCCCAGTTCCATGATGGCATGGAGAGATGGTGAAGCGATGGGCAGAGCATGACACGCCAAGCGTTCAGGTCAACCTCGCAGTACGACAAGTCGAGAGTTCGTAGACTGCGGAGGTTGATATCTTGGCTTGACAATGATAGTCTCTGTTCATTCTTGTCCGTCGGAAACAACATTTTGTGCACGACTAGTGTCTCAAGACTCTGCTCGCACCGCTTGATAAGCGCTGCGATGAAATCGCAATCGCTTCGAGGCTTCCGTTTTGCGAATGAATCTCCGTTGTCGGGTGCTTTGGCGGTGTCTATATCGCAATCTGCAATTGTGACCTCCTCGACCTTGTGTTGAGCATCTTGACAAATGTGAAGTCTGAGGTCCAAACCCCGAACTTGTTGAAATGAATGTGCAGGAAGCTGGTCTAGTACCCCTAGAAGCTCCTCGCTTACTGAGCCGTGAAATTTGATATGTTGAACGGAAGATCCAGCGAGAGTCGTCAAGAATTTGGGACTCTGGCACAGTCCGTCGAGCCAGGAAATGGACTCCAAATTTGGCATCGCACCGATGCCAAGGAGAATGGGCATCTGGTAATAGGCCACGTACTCCAACTCTGCCTTTTTTTGCAGACAATCAAAGTACTCTCTTTTAGCATCGGTTATTTCGCCTCTGTCAGCTCCCCAGATCGAGTCATAGAGCTCTTTATGGAAACCCCCGAGCCAGCCAGGGTCTGACGCCACTTTCACACGTCGGATACATGGTCCGATTCGACCGCGCGACTGAGGACCTCTAGAGACGGCCTCTGTTGAGAGGAGTTGGGCAAGTTGACGAGATGCTGGGCTGTAGTCGAATGTGACCACCGCGAATTGGCAGGATCGAGCGAGCTGCCTGCAGTCACTATTGACAAGAGCGAGAGACGCCAGAGAGGGCTTTTCATCTGAAATCAAGTCCATTATGTCGCCGAGGATCTCTGATGGAAGACGGAAGAGCAAACTCTGTGACGCAGCTGGCCGAGCCTCCATCACCTTGGTAAAGAGGAGGGGGAGGCGCGCCTCAGTCTTCTTGCCAAAGAGGTTCGGGCCGCCGCTAAACTTCCCCATCATCATAGACGAGATATCATGGGACAACATGTTGTCAACAGCAAAAATGGATGGCGAAGTGTCCTGGTGAACAAAGGGTGAACAAAGGGTGAACAAAGGGTGAACAAAGGGTGAACAAAGGGTGAATAAAGGGTGAACAAAGGGTGAACAAAGGGTGAATAAAGGGTGAACAAAGGGTGAATAAGGGGTGAAGTTGGGTGTTTTGGATTGGGCCAGAGGGATGAAGTTAAGCGATCCTATAGGCTATTTGCATAAGAAATGGCTTACAACATACCCAGCTTACTAAGTAATAGCAATACTCACCTAACCAGTTAGGCGCTAGTCGACGTACCGATATAGTGCAGAACAGGGGGTATTAAGTAATAATGCAAGCGCATTATTACCTAAGCTTTTGCTTTGTGCCAGAGTTGGTTGCCTTGACCTGCTTGTAACACCCAGGTGCCTTAGGCAGCACGTAGGAAATTTAGAACGGTGAAAACGGTGTAGCAACGTTTCAGCGGGAATTTACGGAGTACTTCATGTAGTAAAATGGGGCTTCGAAGGAGGAGCCTTGTCTTCCGATAATGGAAGTGCAAGGTCTCAAAAATAGGAAGTCCAGGCTCTCACAGCTAAGACTTCATGAGGGCCGGATTAGTAGTTGAGTCGGTGACGATCAGCGAATACCTGGTGTTGTATGTTATTTTCTGGAGGGGATATGATTTTGTTTTTCTTTCTTCATGACTCCACCATCTCGTTTGGGCTGTCTTGCCCGCCGGCATTGCCGCCGTTCGTGCGTCGTTCAAGTGAGCAGAGCGTCTGTCGACGTCAAGGTAGGTCAACATGGACAACAATCCGTCTGCGGGGTGTTTTGCCTGCAAAGTGCTCACCATGTGGCCTATCAAGAAATTCGACGAGGATGGAAGGAACTCGGCGGCGGCGTAACTCAGTCCACCTTAGGGGCGAAGTATGGCTGATCCTCATACACTAGCGGGAGGCCTGGTTAAATATGTAGCGACCGTGTTCTCCACAACGATCGTTATGCAACCAAGAGCTTTCTCTTGGCGTCCTTTTCATATCGCTTACTCGATGATCCCAAGCCCAAGCCTTGGCCACACTTGACCGGAGCTCATATCTCCGTGAGCCTGTAAGCTACGCCGGGGTCAATGAGCGTCGAGGCGGCGCACAGCTTGAGAAATGTGTCCTGGATGGTCTATATGGTTGGAAGCATAGGAGCACGGCCCAGACATACTGCCCAGCGTAGCAGCTACGTCCAAAGTTCGTGTCCGTTCCGATCCACCGCCATGATGTTGTATTGCTAAAAAAAAACCTCAAAGGGCCGGCTTATCTCCACAAGAGATGCCGTATTTGCTTCAGGTGATGATCTGGCTGATGTCGTTGTAGGAGAAAGCCATTCCGATACGTTTGAACAAAGAGCTGATGCATAACCACGGTTATTGATGCGAGTGCTTCAAGTACTGTCCAAAGGCGACCTATGAAGAGAGCATGTCCATTTTTTCCCCTGTGGCTCGAGTAAGCCAGTGCAAAAATGAGGAATACCATGCCATTGGAGATCGAGCGTTTGTTGAGCCCCAATCCAAGAACTCGGACGATAGCAGCCCGGGTTGATAGGCGAAGATAGTTGCCCAAGACATCCACGCCTGGTTCGCAGAACAGTCTTTTGAGAAAAAGAAAAACTTAAAAAAACTTTCGAGCCTAGAAATCGTCGTCGTGTCGGACCAGACGATGCGAGCAATCAAGCACCGCGACGAGGTAGGTGGAAGAAATGTCAGGATCTCCGTTCAACTATGCTGGATAGCTACCGATGTAACTTGTCGTCTTTCTTTCTTTTGCATAGACTCACATTCCATTTTGGTGCTCAAGGACGACGGTAGCCACTCCCGATGCTGCAGGTTATTGTAATTCCAATGGGGAATGCTCGATGGCATCGGCCAGAACCCGGCCGTGTTCATGCAAGCCAGCGGTGACGTCCTCCTCTTTTCGGAAATATGAGAATGGAATCGGGTCCCTGAATGGCCCGTATGTACATGTACGTGATATAGCGTGGCATCGAAACAGGCCAACGCCTACGCTCCAACAGCGCCGTTTCTTGCCAACTTGCGAGCTCTTAGGCAACTTTCACCCAAACCCCTCAAAAAGCCATCGGGGGGGTTCCCCCAAAGTTTGTTTGCTCTCTTCCTCGCACAACGCAGCCGTTTGCATCGCTCGCGAGCTTTCAAATCCTAGGCTCGGGGGTAAGGATCGGTCTCTCTCACTTCGGCGTCATTAGACCGGTTGTCCCTCCCGCCCGGGAACCACAGCTCCAGGATCGGGCCCCCCACCGATCCACCCCGCCTCGGAATCAGGGGGTGGGCGGGGCCACCGTATCGTTTCCCGACTTTCCCGTTGGACATCAACCCCCACAAAGAAATAGGTACTGCGGTAACGGCATGCAGTTGTGTCTTCCTACTTTACAGCATAAAAACCAAGGGACGCTCCGAAAGAGTGTACTCGCGCTACGTCGCACATACTGGCCGTTCGTTTCGCCCCCACCCCCTGTCCGAGAGGGCGGCATTTACTTAACCCCCCAAAAGGCTGTCTCTGCACCGGCCACCTGGACGGCCCGCGCTACATTTTTGTCACCTGAGAATCCAGCCTGCTCGTCCCAACGTCTGACAACGTCGTCAGCTTGGTTCGAGTCAGGATTTCACAAGACAAAAAGAGGAAGAAGTAAGATAAAAAAGGTAAAATTAAAAAAAATTAAAAAAAAAGATACAAAACACTCTGGACGAGGTTCTAAGAATCTCTCGAAAGTCCCATCGATAGAGCTCGACACGATGGGCTCACAAGCTGCAGCAGACATGGATTTCAAAGCCCTTCCGAAAATCGAGGTATGACACTTCTTGTGGAGAAACACCATCCAAAAGTCGACTTTCTGATATCGGGACCTGACACCCGCTTAGCTCCATGCCCACCTGACAGGCAGCATAAGCCGCCGCGTCCTCCACGACATCTGGGTCCGCAAGAAGCAGGCAGGCGAGACAAACCTCGCAGACCCTCTCGTCGAGATGCCGGACGGCAAATACGACTACGACCTCAATACGTAACGTCCTCTTCTTTTTTCTTTATACATTCTTCCTGTCTTTCTCTTCTGCATCTAACCCTTTCAACCTCCCCCTCTAACCGCGACCCTCACAGATTCTTTCCCCTCTTCTCCTCTTACATCTACAATCTCATAACCGATCCAGAGACCCTCTACGCCGCAACATACTCCGTACTCCAAGATTTCTACGCCGACGGCGTGACTTACCTCGAGCTCCGCACCACGCCGCGTTCTCTCCCGTCACCGAACCCGCAGCCGCCCTCCGTCTACGTCTCCACAATTCTCTCCGCCATCGCCGCGTTCGAAGCTGCTCACCCTGACCCCCAGGGGCTGCGCACACGTCTGATCCTCTCCATAGACCGTCGTCACACCCCCGCCCAGGCTCATGAGACCGTCCGCCTCGCCGCCCAGTTCAGCGAGCAAGGCGTCGTCGGCGTCGACCTCTGCGGCGACCCGGCCGCTCGCGTCCACGGCGTGCCCGGACAAGACGATGTCTCCATCTTCCGCGACGCCTTCGCCGAGGCCAGGAAGCTTGGGTTAGGTATCACGGTCCACTTTGGCGAGGCCGAGTGTTCGGGCACTGTCGGCGAGCTTGCCGAGATCCTGTCGTGGAAGCCGCAACGGCTGGGGCACGTCATCCACCTCGGCGAGGACGTGAAGCGGGAGATCGTCGAGCGAAAGATCGGCCTGGAACTGTGCCTCAGCTGCAACGTGCATGCAGGCATGATCTCAGGCGGGTTCGAGGGGCATCATTTCGGAGAGTGGTGGGCCGTGGAAGGGAGCGTGATATCTCTCGGCGTACGTTTTGAGCCCCTGCCCCTTCCTTCGTCGCATTCTTTCTCTATGTACGAGTCAGTTGAAGGCCGTGCTAACTCGCAGACTGCGAATAGACCGACGACGTGGGCGTTTTTGGCAGCCCCCTGTCCAACGAGTACAGACTGGTAGCTGAGCATTTCAGGCTGTCCCGCGACGACATCTGCACGCTCACCCGTCGAGGGATCGAGTCGATCTTCGGCGGCGAGGACGAGAAGGATCGTCTCCGACGAGTGATGTGGAGACCTGCATCGGCCGAGCGGATCTGAGCGCCGGGTCCGTGGACGGAGGAAACAACCGAGAGCGGACCGCGAGCAAGCCATCCATTTTTCTTTTTCTTTTTTCATTTTTGTATCTTCTTTGCCTTTATGCCGCCGGCCCAAGAGAAAAAAATACGCGTCCCTTCCCCCTCGCGGATGGCCTGGTGCGCCGCCAGTATCCGTAGAGCGTCGACAATACTGCCCGCTTCCCGCGCGGCATCTTGCTGCATGACTGGTTCGACCGTCCCGACCGTACTCGGGCTGCTGAAGACCCCGGGGCCTAAAAATTTAGCTTCCAAACTCAAGGTGGCTATCTGTTCCTCGATCCGTTTCCAGGCCGTTAGTAACCCCTCCGTCTCACCAGTCAATGCCTCCTGTCTCGTGGCCTGGGGATTCGGATTGGCTGCGTGGCCTGAGAGATGGTTCGTGCCGCCAAACCAAGCGTGGTGTTGGTCTGATGGATATCCCTGGTACGCCAACAGCCCCGACATGTAGGCTCTTCGATGCAATTTGCATCGCGTCTGGATGCACAACATTCAGGAAGGAATCGGCGTCGTTCTACTGTGGCATCTATCGACCGCGTCTCCCTGCTACCCCACCGCAGCTTGCACGCTCGCTGCAGAGATCCATGAAGTGGCTTCCTTAGTTCAGTTCCAAGTGTAAAGAATGATTACCTATCTGTCAAGACTAGCGTCATCTTTCGTCTCCCTCCGGTTGTCGTGCTAGCTTCGTCCTGAGCATGTGCTTCATGATAGTCAATCAATATCAAGCTTTCTAATCTCTCCCTCCCAAGTGTGTATTCTGTCGGTCCCTTAGCGCCTGTGTACTCCGTACACGGACTTTGACTGCTCGATTGGGAAATGACACTATTAATAACAGAGCAAGCTTGATCCTCCATAAGGCCCGCACTTTCCTGGGCTATATGTTAACTTAGGAGACATGGTAAGGATAAAGTCCGAAAAAGGTTCCGAGGGTTCAAGCTGGCCACTTTGCTCGATTATGGTGCACAGTGGGGTGTTGAGCACAGGCAAACCCCGTCAGCGATACGGCGCGACCAGACCCAGGTGCTTGCCATTTGGCCGCTTGCCCGCTGAGCGAGTGTTTGGACTAGTGTGCTTCTCTAAACTCTACTCAAGATCTTCTGGCCGGAGGCGAACGGGGGATGGTTCTAACTAGTTACTTGCAGAGACAGGCGTTTGTGCCGAGGGCAAGGACGTGCTGGGTTGGCAGGAGGGTCTTCGCCTTGTAGTGAGCAGCAGACGGTCACGGCACCGACCGATCCAGATGTAGGGCTAGAAGACAGTGAATGTATCGACTGCTGCAGCCTCGAAGCTTCATGTCGGTTGGGTATCGAAGCTTGTGTCACGCAAGTTTCCGTCTTGGTCCGAGAAGGCGGCGAGATGGTGCCACATTTTGCCAGGATGACAAGATTGCCTACTCTTTACGCGGGCTGTTTTCCAGTACAGATCTGCGAATCCTTCTTGTCGAAACGGCTGATGGTCCTCGTCCTTCACCTACCGTTGAGGCGATATCCGGGTCTCATTGGGACTGGATCGTTCAAGGTTGCCGACAGAGGGCCTCGTGCCCGCTCGTAGCAAAGGCAATCCTGGCTTTATACTATGAAACGGCCAAAACGGGAGGCATGTGATGATGCGAAAACATCCTCGAGAGGGGGACGACATCTGGGTGAAATTGGAGGGGTATACCGTATGACAATGGGGGACTAACATAGCAGTCAATGCAAGCGGTGAATGGCAAGCGATGAGTGGCCGTCGGAGCCGCGGACAGCCGGATCTGGCCCACGATCTGGAGTGGAGCAGGATTCATGAAGCCTGTGCGGTTTCCACGGTGGAGGACGCGTCAACGTCGATTAGCATCCGACAGAAGACATTGATTGAGGCGGGGTGATCAGGCACTGCTGCCTCCATACTTTATGCTGCTGGACCTAGGATTTGCTACTTACACCGCAATGCTGATTTCTTGTAGATCTAGAAAGTTATGGACCATCTGTTACATCGGGAGGGGTTTGCGGAGTTTGCGTCAACTACATACCGGACTGCTCCCCGGTGACATTGCCCGCCGCAGATCAACAAAAGCACCGGC